GCTTGATTCAAGGCCCCATCATTTGTAGCCCGCATATTCTGCTGCTTTGGTGTCAGAGTAGTCGAGTGATCAGTGTTAGCGGAGAGCACTCGAGCAACAGTTCCATTTGGGGCGAGCCAGACGTCCGTGTTGGGTTGAATATCCCAACGATCGGCTGTGTTGCTGGATCCAACAAGGCGTGTGATTCCATTCTGACACACCGTATGCAACGAGACTATAACCTTTCCGACTTGACTCAGTTCAATCCGAATGCTTGTCAGTGCTGGAAAAGAATCCACGTCGTCATTGGCTATCGTCGGGCTATCATAGTTGCTTCTGTCAACGGCCGTAAACAGAGTCCGTGATCCCAGTGGGATTGCATTGTGACGTCGAATCAGCTGCAGATTGATTGCTCCTGCGACAGCCGACACGAAAGATGCGTAAATTGCTGCAGCATTCCCATAACTATCCCCGCTTCTGGAAGCATTAGCTCCCCCACTCTGGGGCTTTTGCGGTCCTGAAGGGCCTGCAGAAGGCGCTTGAGGATCCGCTGAAAGGGTCCTAAGCAAGTCCTGTGCGGTCGTGCTTCCGGATGCCGAAACTTTCAGAGATGTAGAGCCGACTAAGAGCTTGTTCGACTCGTTGGGCGGTTCCTGACTGAGAGAGCTCAAGCTCTCAAAGCCGGGAGTCGCCGAGAAAATCCATAGACCAAGGCGTCTAGGGTAGCATGATACTAAGCAGTCCAAATTCCTCAATTTAATCTCAAGATCTTTGAGTCTGCTGAGATGCTTGAGGATGTTATACCCATTGGTCGGGACATCCGGAGAGGAAGGAACGCTGCTGGGTTCCTCCGAGTATATCCTCCAGTATATGTTGGAGAAGCCATCCTTGCCACGATGTTAACGGAACATCCTTCAGACTGCTCATTAGAGAAGCACTCACAATAACGCTGATATTAGTGATGGCGCCTCCGGGGAAATCCATCATCACGGAGATGCCTGTCTGGCAAGTTCACCTCTGCTCCTCAGGGAAGATAGAAAGAAATCCGAACCGCCGTTCGAAAGCGGTTTCATTTCCAGGACAGGTGAAAAAGCGGAACATTGGATCATGCAAAAAGTAACAAGAGATGACAGGACCTGTCAGCAGATACATGTATTGACAACGTTCAGATGCCGTCCCCATTCAAATGGGGCAAAGGCTTGGCGGAGAGCTGAGCAAGACAGGAGAGGAAACGGATGCCAGAAGCCCTTTTACATGTCAGAACATCGTTTGCTCCTTCGACAGCGGCGGCGAATCCGGAGCAGTTCTGGGTCAGATCTACCCCAGGCGATCTCGACCTCTGCAGGCGTCGTTTGAAGCGGCTTCGAGGTTGCTCGGGGACGCTGGGGGGCGCTGAAGCCAATCAGGACCGGCGGATCGCTCAGCGGAGAAGCCCCGTCACGTGGCGAAATCTTGGCGGAGATCTTTTCGCGTCTCTCCATTTTTGATTTTTCTCGACCTCCGAGTGTGGACGAGAGTAACAGAGAGGCTCTCCGCCGGACGAGAGCCAGGTCGCAAACATGAGGCTCACTAACCAGGGCTCGGTCCCTGTTTATACCATCTCTGGATCTTCCACTGCGCGACCTCTTCCGGAATGGCTGGCCAAAAAGCGGAAGCGGAGTCTCAAGAACGACCCGGAATATGCCAATCGCGTCGAGCTGCTTCAGGACTTTGAGTTTGAGGAGGCTAGCCAGTGTATTCGTATCAGCGAGGATGGGCAGTGGGTGATGAGTACAGGTACGGGTTTCAGGTCTTGATTGTCTTTTTCCCGGTCTTCACGCTGATCTCAATACAAAGGGACCTACAAGCCGCAGATTCATACGCACTATCTACCGCACTTGTCGCTGTCTTGGGCTCGTCACACAGTGTCGCTCAATACCACATTTCTGCTCTTGTCTTCCGATTACTCGAAATCGTTGCATTTGCAGTCTGATCGGTCGCTCGAGTTCCACACCCCGCAAGGATGCCATTATACGATGAGACTGCCCAGATACGGTCGCGACCTGGTTTACGACAGGCAGTCCGCGGAGGCACTGGTTCCAGCAGTCGGCGTCAACCAGGATGGGATGGGAGAAGTGTTTCGGCTGAATCTGGAAATTGGTCGATATATGCGAAGCTACGAGGTAGACGTGGGTGGAGATGATTACACGACAGTTGGTGGTGGCTCGCTGCAAGGTGGCATTTATACGGGTGCAGTGAACACTGCTGCTATTGCCGAAGAGAGCCACAATCTTCTGGCCTTCGGTACGTCAATCGGGACTGTCGAACTCTGGGATCCGCGGGCTCGAGGACGAGCGGGGATTTTGTTGCCTCCGTCCCAGTCGCAGCCAGACGATGTGCGGCAGGAGATCACCGCCCTGGAGTTTCACCGGTCGGGCTTGACCCTCGGAACAGGATCGTCGAACGGAATCATCCATTTGTACGATTTGCGGTCGCCGGTGCCATTCCTGAAAAAGGACCAGGGATACGGTTACCCTATTCACACACTGAAATTTCTCCTGCCGTCTTCTTCCACCCGCGAACAAACAATGGAGCCCAAGATTCTCTCTTCTGATAAGAGAATTATCAAGATATGGGATCCCCGGGATGGTTCCCCTTGGACATCGGTTGAACCGGCCGTCGATATCAACTGCGTCGCCTGGTACAAAGACAGTGGAATGATCCTAACAGCCAATGAAGGCAGACAGCAGCACGCATTCTTTATCCCTCAACTGGGACCCGCTCCAAAATGGTGTTCTTTCCTGGACAACCTCGTTGAGGAGATGGCAGAGGATCCAAACGACCCTCAGGCATTCAAGAGTGGACAGTCAGGCGCTGTCTACGACAACTACAAATTCTTGACGGTGCCTCAGTTGCGAGCACTGAACTTGGATCATTTGATCGGAAGGACGAATCTTTTGCGACCTTACATGCATGGATACTTTGTGGCCCAGCGATTGTATGAGGAGGCTCGATTGATCACGAATCCTTACATCTGGGAGGAAGAGCGGGCCAAGAGGATTAAGGAAAAGATCGATAAAGAACGGGAGAGCCGAATCAGAGGGAAGAAGAAGGTTGCGGTCAAAGTCAACAGGAAGCTGGCTGAGAAGCTTCTTGAGAAACAAGAGAAAGAGGAGCGGCGCAGAGCCCAGAAGGTTCTGGAGCGGGGAGGTGATGAGGACATGGTTGATGCACCACCACCTTCAGACGAGCCTGGCAAGGGCCTGCTTAACGATAGCCGTTTCAGGAAGATGTTCGAGGACGAGGAATTTGCTGTGGACGAGAACTCCAAGGAGTACAAGCTATTGAACCCAGGCAGCGTTCCCGAGGAGTCTCCAAGAAAGGAGCGAGGCTTGACGGCAGTGGAACAGGAGGAAGTCGACTCAGTTCCTAGCTCCAGCAGTGACGACGAGTCGTCGGAAGAGAGCGAAGACGAGCAGCCGGAGAAGAAGTCCAAGCCGTCCGAAAAGAAAGACAACAACAAGCGCGACAAGAAGCCCGCCCTCCAGATGCAGGTCTCATCTTCCACCAAAGCGGGGCCGATCCGGGATCGGTCGTTCGAGTCCCGGGCTCAGAACATGCGCGTGAAGGAGAAACCCGTCCGGGGCAGTGTGGTCGGCGAGAAGGAAATAACATTTGCACCGAAGCCGAAGTCGAAGCCACAGCCCAGCGCGGAATCGGCGGAGGCAGAAAAGCAGTACCGGAATAAGGAGCGACGAAGTGCATCCAAAAACACCTTCCGACGGATGTAAACTGTTCCAAGTTCGGGGCTTGAAACTGAAGACAGAGAGTCTTTGCGGTCAGGCCAGTGGCCTGGCAGTTCTTGCTCCAGCACTGATGTCCATCGCATCGCGAAAGAAATGACATCAGCTGGTTAATGGGCAGGGCAGTATGAAGTACTTGTTTCTGAAAGGACCAAATCAAGGCCGCAATAAACTGATGTCCTTTCAGACAAGACACAGTGGCTGAAGAATCAGTTACCTCCAAATAAACAAATTTCCTGACCAAGATGAAACACAGCACAGCATACCTCGTGTATTCATCATCATCAGATTTTTCCTACAAGCGACAGGGAGCTCAAGACACCACATACATACGTACCGGAAGAACTAACTAAGCCCTCGTCAGTCACACTTCATCGTGAATGACGACGCTTGACGCCTTCTCTGGTCTTCGACTCGACTCGACTCATCAACTCAGAACGAGATCGGGGACCATGAAATTATATTTACATTTGCATTTGCATTTACGTACATTGTCCATCCGTCCATCCCGTTCCACCGGGAGGAGTTTTCACTGAACGTTTATTTCTCTATCTATCTGGCTGGACAAAGTCTACAACGGAGTAAAAAACAAAACAAACCGGGAAAAAAAAAAGAAGGGAGGAAGGGAAGAAAGGGCATGTGAGTATGCGTATGTACTGTACAACAAACAGATGGATAGGTAGATACCCCGTGAATAATAAGAAATCATCAAGAAATAAATAATGACAGAAAACTTCTTTTGCTTTCGGATGTCATTGACAGCCTTCGTTCGGGCTTTTCTTTCTCTTTTTTTTCTTTCTCTTTTTTCGAGTGAAAGTCTACACTTTTACGTACTGTACAGTACATACTGTACGTAGCCATAGATTACTCCGTAATATGCTGTATGCCGGCAGACATGTGTGACGGATAACTATAGTTAACTAACTAGTTAGTTAACCAATATTAATTTACTTATGTAATGTATGTACTTACGTACTTAGTGATGGAATCTACTAAGAAAGACAAAAAAAACGAAACAAAATTGATCTCTGTTGCTACAACACTGGAACGTAAATAATAAACATGAAAAATCGATTGATTGATATCTCCTCTCCTACCTACCCGAATCCCCAACCAACCAACCAGCCAAAGAGAAGAAAAAAAAAGCCTTCAAATCCAAGAGGAGAAAACGAAAATCCCATGCCCCAGTTCTCGAGAGGACTGAAGAAAAGAAAAGAAAAACGAAGAAACACAAGGGACAACGCTGCCATTCACGTAACACGTGTCAAGCATTTCGAGATATCCTGGGAAAAACAAAAAAAAAATCACAAGAGTCCTCGCCCAAAGAGAGAAAAAAGAAAAAAACACAGGTCAATCTGAGAGAACAAAAACAGACCTGAAACTGTCCAGTTTGAGATCATCAAAACCACAAACCATGCAAGAACGGGTACAATTCACAGTCGAACTATGATCATTAGCAAAATCATCAGAAACCGTTCTCTATACCCCAGCGATTTCCCTCTTTGCGGCTATGTCATCCAGTCTATAGAAAAAGAAAAAAAAAGAAACAAAAACAAAAAGAAACGAGTAAAGTTCAGAAAAATAATCAAGTAGAAGGTAAGAAACAGAGATGACAGGAGATAATGTATAATGGATGGGGAGGTATCGTAATGGACTGTCGGAACGTCATCTCAATCCGCGAATCAGACGGCCGCAGGCTAAAGGGGAAAGACAAAGCTAATGTCTAAGATCTCCATCTTAGACTAAAGAGCAGGCAGCAATATAGCTAGAAGTTGATAGTCCAAAGTGATAAGCAAGTACAAGACGAGGGCCGGAAGGGCTAGGACGAAGTGCAGTGAAATCGCCGTCGAAGGGATCCAAAAAAGATTATTGTTGATCCATCGTCGCCCGCGATTTAGGTTTCCATAAAATTCCGGCCATGTTTCCCACGAACAGCTGCCTCTCATCACAGCTGTAGTTCATTGCCAAGCGTGAAAACTCGGCAGGCCTGTGCCGCGCCTCCCGCTACCACGCCTGGATCCGCCCGAGTTTCCACCGGACTCCGCTCCAACGCTGCTTCGTCTGCCCTCCTCCAAACTTCGCCGCGAAATGCCAAAGTCGCTCATGGCAAACAGTAGCGGTTCGTCTTCCTCGAACGACGTCGTAGGCGGAGCCGTAGAGCGGCCAGAGCTTGATCGATGGCCCGTGCCGCGTCGAATATCCGCCATCGAATTTCCGCTATTGCTTCCGCTGGCACTGCCTTCACGATCTCGCTCGCGCTCGGCGAGGTGTGATGGGATTGCACTTCCCCGCGGGTAACTGCTCGACGTCGAGCTATGCGACTGCGGGCCACCGGAGGAACCTCGACCCCGACTGTGGGAGAAGCGAGCCTGGTAAGGGTGATTGGACGAGGTGGATGCGGCCGTTGGTCCGGAACCCACGGCACCGGGGTTGGCGGAATCTTCGTTGATGGACGAGGGTTGTTGCGCGTCCGGGCATGGTTGATCCGGATTGGTCGTGGTGTTCTCAAACTCTTGCTGTCGTAAAAGTGCACTGAGGCTTAGATGAGATCGTTCCTCAGCACCGAGACTGACACTCCGCATCCCAAATGGGAAGATTTCATCGTCATCGCCCCCGACAGTAGCAGCACGACGATGCTGGGCAGCGGAACTCGAACGCCGGAAACTCGGCCCAAATGGCCGAGGAGACTTGGGGATGTCGATGGCGTTCGCCCCGGATCGAGTTGCACGGTGTGTTGTCTCATCGTTGGCATTCTCTTCCGCGGGGGAATCATGCTCGACTTCCAGTGGCCGGTCGGGACATTCCGCTTCCTGGTCATCATAACTGACAATGCTGTTGGAACTCAGGCGTGATGGTATTGCGGGAGTGTGAGGCGTGTGGGGGGAAATCGGTTTCCCAGGGGATGAGGATGTCGATATCGAAGTTCCCGCGACCATCGGTGGAACGTTGGATAACTGGCGACTCGACGACGCCGACGAGCGATGGAGAAGCAGCGAGGATGACATGGAGTCCGACAGCGCGGCGTTGGAATCCCGCATCCGTTGAAACCGAGTCAACGCCGCCGACGTCCTGCGAGTGGCTGCATCGACCGCCGCCGCTTTGACGGGATTCAAGAGATCCTTGCGTAAATCCAGCATCTTCAAAAAGTCGGAGATGTTTTCGTCATCGGCGTGAAGAGAATCGCCGCTCGTGCCAGTGACTTCCGCCAGGATTCCGGATCCAGGCTGCGCACTTGACGAGGTTGCGCTGGCTTTGCCGCTGGAATTGTTGTCATCATCTGTCCGGTTGGTCCCTCCGGACGACAGCCTTCCACGACGGTGGCTGAACGAACTGCTGTACCTTGATATGGGGGCAGGTTTGGGAGAGGCTGAAGTAGAAGAGGCTATTGCTTGCTCAGGAGGGACCGTAGCTGGTTTACGGCTGGCCGAGGCTGCCTCCGTAGGCGGGGGCATACTTTTGGTGTCGGCGGAAGTGGCTGGTGCAGACGTACGACCAGACCCTACGCGGGGAGACGCTCCAAGAGGAGGGTCAACCAGCGAAGGCGATGCGGATAACGGCGGAGCTTTGAACGGCTGGAAGGAAAGGGATGGACGTCTGGTCACGCCGGAACTGCCCTCCCCAGCCAGCGCTGCAGCGCGTCCGACCGGTCCAATCTTGGCCGCCGGTAGAAGCTTCTGTGGAGGAGATGCTGAAGGAGATGGAGACGTCGTCCCTAACTCCCGTGCAGCTCGCAGGGTGGATATGGGACTGGCGCTGGTTGTCGGACCGACCTGGTGGAAAGTGGACAAACTTCCATAGGCTCGGGTCCGATCCGGTTGCTCAACAGGCCCTCTTCTTTCTAGCGGCAGGGATTCTGACTCCTGGGCGCCAACCCGGTTCGATTCTTCCGTGGGCAACGAAGGGCGGAAGAAGTCATCGTCGGCCCCCATGAACCGAGAACTCAGCAGCGCTTCAGAATCGTCCACCCGGAAGTCGCAGCTGATGCGATAGGTTACCTGCACTGAGAAGGGACCGGCAGGCGACTCCGTCGTACCGAAGGAGTACGTCTCGACCACCTTACCGGTTCCGCCATGAAGGGGAATCGTCAAGTTGTCAGCACCGGAGCCTTGATCAGCCGCGGATGCTTCTCGAATTCGATACTTGATCTTCAAGGCCGGGCTGGCGCGCATTTTCCCGTTGCGTTTGGCAAGCTTCCAAGCGGGCAGAAACTTGGAGTATGTGAACAACGACCGAAATAGGACAATGCTCTTCTTGTAGACGGTTGGCAGGATTGCGGCCAGATCAGGAGGAGGCTTGCCCGATGGTTCTCCCAGCTCGACTCTCCAGCGCTCCAAGATGACCTCGTTTGGATTGGAGCTAGCTGCAGCATCTTGAGATGCCGCAAGGGCCTCGACCACGTCCCAGCGCTTGCCATTGTCATCCAGAATGACCAGGCTCTGGTTATTCGTGAGTTCGTTGGCATCCAGGAACGTCTCGATAATCATCGGCGGAGGTCGGTTGTCGGTTGCGTCGCAGGTTCTCCATCGTCGCAGACTATCCCGGAGAACGTCCGTCTCGTCTAGCTCGACGTTGAACTATTCCCCAATAGAACGATTAGCTCATCAGAGGTCTCGTGAAAATGCTAAATGAAGAGGGTAGCAGCCGAGAGAGATAGTGTGATGGACGACTTACCCAGCGATTGACTCTCGGGGTATCGGAGCCTTTACTGTAGACGGGTGGAAGGTCCACCCGCGAGTGTAGGATGATCAAAGCGGCTTTTGTGTGGTAGTTCTGCAGAGGAAATGGTCAGTATAAACACGGCTCGACTTTCTGGCAACCACGACGAAAGACCAACCGATATGATCTGATTGAGTTTTGTCATGGCCTCCTTGGCAGGGGTCGCTTTCTGTTCCTGCTCCGAAGCTTCGACCCCGGGATCAATACCAAGACCTCTTGTAGTATCTGACCCGGCGTTGGAAGATGGCCTGTTCGATTCGGCATCCTGATCTCTTTGGCTGTCGAGCCTGGCCGAACTTGGCCGCGGCGGGCTTGTTGGTGGCGCCGTCACCGGCGGCCGCGGATGTTGATGCATGGTAGAGGAATGGGGAAAAACAGCTGCTGCAAGCCACCAAGAAAAGGGGGATCTTCAAGGAAAGTATCAACAGGAGACCGCAGCAGGCTCGACGCAAACAGATAAGGCTGAGTGTGGGTTATCAAGCGGGCCGAGGGGAGGTGGTGAACCAGCAGAGATGGGCCATGCTAACTGACTGACAGGACAGAAGAACGGCGGTGACGTCGAGATCAGGCGGACAGAGAGAGAATCAGCGTAGTATCCAAAACTGCTAGGCGACAGGCAAGAGGAGGATGGATGTCACAGGCATTGTTCGTCGTGCAGGCAGCAGTCGAGCAAGTCGATGGTCTAGACAGGTTAGGAGCTTCTCCGCAATTCAGGGCTGCGGACCCAATCAATGGGGAACAGTGCGTCCTCACAAGGTGAGAAACAGCACAGTTCAGAAAGCCATGGTGAACAAAAGGGTCGAAAGCAAGGATCTGTGGCAGCGGATGCAAAGAGAGGGTCAGTAATGCAGCTGGGCGAGGATGCAAATGGGATGAAGTGCAGAGCGTACCTCGGACGGCGCCTGTGACGCACACGGGTGACTCGACGGACTGGGGCGGTCAAGTGGCTGCGAGCACGACAGCACGGCGCAGCGATCGGGGCCCAGGGACAGTCAGCTGCCAGGACCGGATGAAAGAGGCAGCAATGGCCCGGAAGACAAGATCCGCAAATCAATATATATCGCGAACGCGATGGAGGCGGCAGGATGGCGATGAGCTGGGGAGAGGGAAGACGGGAGCTTTGGAGGGCGCTGGCGATAACCGCTGGCGCAAGGCGGTAAGGACGGCCAAGGCGTATCGTCAGTATCGTATCGATACGATACGTCCGGGGCATGGACGATCCAGCGCGACGCAGGCACCACCGGCTACCTTGGCGGTGTTTGCGTGCCGTTCCAAACCATACCGTACCGCCGCCGATCATCCGCCAGGCGGTCGCATGCCTCTCCTCAGTCCTCACTCGCTCAGCCATGCCTGGCGCCTCCCGGGGACGCGCTGCGAGGGCCGCCTGAGCTAGACATGAGTCGCCGACCACGGGGCTTGCACGCTGGATGGTGACAATACGCAGCGTCTCGTCACATACGATACGCGTCATTCTTACGACGGGGCAAGGCGAACTCGTCGCTTGGAACGAGCCCCCGGTGGGCCAGTTGGCTGGAGCTTGCCGGCTCCACTGCGAGCTGCAGCCAGCTTGACACCGTCGCCAAGGTAATTCGAAGCTTGGTGGACTCAGCCCTGAGACATATCGCAGCCAGAGCATGGTGACGGAGCACTGGTCTCTCGCCTGTGTCAGATGGCGGCCGACGATTGAACACACGCTCGAAAATGCCCGAGTGGCCGCCTCGCCAGACGGGAGGCGGCACACGACATGTCAATTGCTGGCTCTCTCGTCTCTCGCACCACGCAAGAGACGCTGCTGCTCGCACCCTGCAGAGGCCGCCGCGGAGATGCAGCTCCATGCCGCGACTGGCTGCACGATTGGGAGCCAGAACAGAGGCCTCGGGTCTCTCCCAGTCAGTGGTGCGCCTCTGCTGCAGAACCGCCGACGTCTGGCTGCGCAGGACAGCTCCACCGAGACTTGGAGGCTGCTGTCTGGTGCCAAATGGTGTGCAGGGCCCTTAGATGCATCACGACTTCTTGGGCGATCGTGGTGCCCGGTGCCGCCAGATTCCGGGGTCAGGAACGGACGGATCGCCTGCGGGAGACAGGCACGCACACCGCTCGCGCCAGCACGAGCCCAACGCAGCGACTTCTCCAGATTGCTCGCGGATTATTACAAAAGATCTATCTCATCTATCTCATACCCAACAAGGCGCTAACGATGCAGGAGATTGTGCTTCCAGTGGAGTGATCTGCTGTTTTCTGGCATCAGCGACCGTACTGTAATGCTTGTCTAATATTAATAGGACAGTACTCCGTAATCAGGGCAGTCCCCCACATCAAGGGAATCACAGGGATCAGGATGAGGTGATGATGATTGAGGATTGCTCTTGTGTCCATGATGCTATACTGATCAACCTGGCCAAGCCTGGCCGAGTCTCCAAGCAGCCCCATGTGACGAGCCGGTCATGTGCTTGCCGGCAGTCACGGGTCTTGCCGTAACTTCTGCTCTCCGGATCGTACCTGCGTTGATCCGTTAGGATAATAATTACCTAATCTGTACTGTATAAGAGCCCATCAACAACCGTCCTGAGGCTTCTTCCGATCTGGCCCGTCCAAGGAAACCCACCACACACTCATCAATACGTATGCTTGAATTAAGGTCTCTCCCCGCCCAGGGGCCTCGTCGTGCCTTGGACATCGGATGGTCGACCTTGGTAGAACGTGTTCAGCCGCCCCCTCCGTGATAGGATTTTCGTTGTATCTGCGCGGCCCTGCACCCCATGCTGAGCAGGCACTCTCCAGTCGATTCAGCACGAGTCCAGCGCCATGCGGAGAGCCATTGGCAGCAACGGCCACCGTCACGTCGAGATGACAGAGCGTTATCGCACGAGGAGAGAGGGCCTCGGCCAGGAACCGGAGGAACCTGTCAGCGGACCGCATGGAGGGGTGTGTGCCCGCTGATTGGCCACGCGTGCTCCCGATAGCATCCTGACATCCACGGCTCCCCAGCACGCGCGCAACCATCGTCCCTCGAGCCTCGCCAATTTCATATACCAGTCCTCCCGCCTCCTCCCTCTGATCGTCGCCAGAAGAGCAACTTGGTCTGTCATTGCTGTTGTCTCTCCTCCCGGTCGACTTCCACGCCAGCAGCTCAGCTCGCGAGAGATACCGCCATCGCCACCCCCACCCTCTCTGCTGCTCCTGCCCATCCCGCATCGCTCGAGTCCTCGTGTCGCCGACGTCCTGTGAGGCCGGTGTGTGCGTTCGCTTCGATCGCATTCCCCTCCCTCCTTTTCCATCCTCCCCGGAATCCTCTTTCAGCCTGTAGAGCACCTTTAAATACGCCGTAATCCTCCGTGGTTACAGCGAGGTTCCTGCTCCCAGGCTGACAAGAGGTTCTGCGTTCGATCCATCAAGTGGCACATGAGTAGCACGCTCCTGAAATACTTCCTCCAGGATGATGTCGACAGCTTCAAACGCTTCCTGGCAAATACCTCCGGTGGCCAGAGAACGGCGGGAGGAATCACTACGCCCAAGACCGGGAGTCCCGGGGTTGCGTTAGGGTCTTCGCCGAACCCGTCTTCGAGGAACAAGAAAACCAGCGGTACCTCTCCTGGATCCTCGTTCACCGATCGCAGCGGTGTGCGCCCCAATGCCACTGCCTTGTCCCGGGCGGAAGTGAATGCGCGCGATCAATATGGCCGCACCCTCCTGCATCTCATCGCTTCGTCGCCCAAACCTACTGCCATTGAGTTTGCAACCGCCCTGCTAGAGGTTCCTTTCGTCGATATTTACGCTCAGGATTTGGAGAGTGGGTGGACAGCCCTGCATCGGGCTCTGTACGCTGGCAATGCTTCAATCGCCCATGCGTTGATGGCCCGGGATATGCGTGATGCAACCGACTTCAGCACTCCCAATGCAGCGCATCATCCGTCCGGGAGCCTGATCAAGATCAAGGACCGAGAGGGAAATAGCCCTTTCGATGTTTACGGGGCAACAATCCTGGCCCGTGACATCAAGCGGGTCGTACCGCAACGTGGTGACAAGCTCGTCCCGGATCCGACAACTGCCGATCCGGGTGACGGCGATGCATCCTCTAGCAACAATTCGGAATACGGAGGGGACAATGGCGAGGACACGGGAGCCAGAGCGATCCTGCGACCACGTGTCCATCTGCATGCTGATGAAGTCTTCACCTTTGGGAGCAACAAGAATTTGACTCTGGGCCTCGGCGATGAAGACGACCGCCAGTTCCCCGAGAGAATTTCGGTGGAGCGTCCGGAGCATTTGTTACAACGATTTTACCGGGAGCGTGAGGAGGTCCGGTCAAGTCGAAGGGAACACGACCAGTCTGCCAGCCAGGACATCGGCTGTCCAACCGACCTGCCGGCTGTTATCAGAAACAAGCCCGTTGTCTTTCAAGATGTTGTGATGTCCAAGCTTCATACAGCAGTGCTGACGGATGATCCCGAGTCGAATCTCTTCATGTGTGGCTTTGGACCAGGTGGACGCCTGGGGACGGGCGACGAGGCGACCAGATTCAGCTTCGTGTGCATCGAAACGGGGGCGCTGGCAGGGAAGAAAATTGTCTCGGTGGCCTTGGGTCAAGATCATTCCATTGCCATCTCCGAACAGGGAGAGGTTTTCACCTGGGGAAGCAACAAATATGGACAGCTAGGCTACAACCTCCCTCGAACGAGCACTAAGAACGACACGCCAATCCAAACGACTCCAAGACAGATCTTCAATCCCTTCAAGCGCGAAATCATCCTTGGAGCAGCTGCCTCCTCCATCCATTCCGTGGTCTTTAGCGCCTCGGGGCTATATACTTTCGGCAAAAACGAAGGCCAGCTTGGCCTGGTTGATTCAGATGCACGTTCTCTTGAGATGCAAGTCACTCCCCGGCGCGTTGGCGTCTCTTTGTTCAATTCTCCGATTCAGATGGTCTCGGCTATTGACCGGGCTACGACGGTGCTTCTCGAGAGCCACGATGTCTGGGTCTTCACCCAGTATGGTTACTCAAAGGTCGTTTTCCCTCTGGACTATAGCTCCTCGTTCATTAAAAACAGTTTTCTGGCTACGAGGTATGGTAGTGCTGTCAATCACATCACCAAAGTCACCTCCGGCCGGAATACCATCTGTGCGATGTCAAGCTTCGGCGAAGTATATACTGTGCAGGTGAACAGCAAACCTGACACCGGTTCTACCGCCGCTTCCACTACGAATCCTTCGAAAATCCGGAATTCCTTGTCTCCACCAGAGCGGGTCTGGTCCGTCAGGAAGGCACATATGGCAGTCAGAGATGTCGCTGTCGGACAGGATGGCTCCATCATCATCTGCACAACCTCTGGTTCGGCCTGGAGAAAGGAAAAGCGTACGAAGATCAAGGAAGCTGGGTCCAAAGACTATAAATTCGTCCGTGTGCCTGGTCTTTCTAGGGTAGTTGGTGTGAGAAGCAACGCCTTCGGCGCCTACGCAGTACTCCAGCGAGAATGCGACGTGGCCAGAGAGCAGATCCATGTTAGCCAGTCTACTTTGTGGCATGATTTCTTCCAGCTTCTGCCATTCAAAGATCTAACAACCACCGCTAGCGATGTGACTGCGGAGCATTCGGAACTCAACTCGATACCTAGTCTGGTTACCAGGATCAAGGCGGCGGTCCTCTCCTCGCCCGATATTGAATCGCAGATCCAGCCCATTCTGGCGGCACATGAACTATCTGATGATAATGCGCAAGGAGGAATCTGGATCAAGAGTACAGTGTCTGAGACCCGAATTCCTGTTCATGAGTTTGTCTTCGCTGGGCGAAGTGCGGTTCTAAGAAGAGCTCTCGGAGAATTTCGCCAGAATTATTACTTCTCCATCCCAGACGTCCTTGCGATCGAGTATGATCGCAATGGGCAAGTCCAAGTGGTTTTTCAGGGTGTCGATTTCTTGTCGATCCTAAACCTGGCCTTTTTCTTATACACCGACAGTGTATTGGACGTTTGGCGCGAGATCAGACACTCTTCAGCAAATGCCTCCCGATACCGGCAGGTCCGGACTGAAGTGATGCGTATTGCATCCCACCTGGAACTTCGAACCTTGGAACGGGCGGCCAGAGTAATGGTTGAACCGGCCCGAAGTTTGAATGTCGACATGGAAAGGGCCATTCAGGATCCTGCTTTCTTTGAAAGCAGCGATGTGACGATCCAATTAAAGGGGGGAACAGCGAAAGCGCATAGCCAGCTTCTCTGTCGGAGATGTCCCTTTTTTGAAGGTCTGTTTCATGGTCGATCTGGTGGCAGATGGCTCGCGTCACGCCGCCGTGATGCAACAGAGGACACGATTAGCGTTGATCTCAAGGACCTGGAACCGAAAATATTCTCCTTTGTCCTGCGTCACATCTATGGAGACACCGAAGAGGAATTATTTGACGACGTCAGATCTGAGAATCTTGACGATTTCATCGATCTTATCCTGGACGTCATGTCGGCCGCGAATGAGCTGATGATCGATCGGCTTGCTGAGGTCTGCCAGAAGATGCTTGGGAAATTTGGTAAGTCTTTATGGAGTTTTACCCATAAAGATTGTTACTAATACAACGAATTAGTCAACACGCGTAATGTCTGTCACCTTCTCAACGCCGTGGCACCTTGCACAGTAACAGAATTCAAGGAGGCTGCCTTAGAGTACATATGCCTGAATCTTGAAGTCATGTTGGAGAATAGGTAAATAACAGTGATCCACTTTTTTTTTTTGGCCATTCTATGTCTAACATCTTCTAGATTGCTGAATGACTTGGACGAGGAGTTGCTTTACGAACTTGACGCGGTCTGTAAAGAAAACCAGCTCGCCCGCTATCCTGTTTCTCGAGGTCGTAACTCCGAAGATTACGTCCTCGAGAAGTATCCGGAGTTGGCAGCCCAAATAGAGAATGACAGACAGCGAAGAATCGATTCGATGAGACTTCGGTCCCGGCTTGACCAAGATGAGCTACATGATGAGAAAACTAGAGCAGGCGGGGTTGAAAAATCAACGTCTTCGCCGTCAGCACGGAAAACAAAGCCTCTACACTCCAGTGAGGGTAAAACCGTGGTCAACAGTCCTGGGCTCAAATCAAAACAGTCTACTAGTGACTTGATGTTCCAAATGGATGAAGAGGGTGCGCTGTCGCCTGCTCCTCCGCGCAAGGGCAAGTCGCTGTCTGGCGGGCCCAGTTCTGAGGACATAAGCGACAGTCGGCGAGTTTCTGGTCCTTCACTGGCATCTAGCCAACCGAAACTAAGCCAGGGTGATTCTTTGGACGAGCGAAGTTATCTGGATGCCAAAATGGGCTCGATGGACAGCGCTGGTGTCGGAAGTCCAGCTGGGGGTCTGAGTCCGACGCCGCAAAAGATCCAATCAGGCTCTCCCACTCCTGGGAATTCCGGCTCCAAAGCTCCCTGGGGTTCGCCCGTGATATCTGGAGTCAAACGAGACTTGAAGGAGATTATGGCTGAGGCATCACAGTCACGAGTCTCGAACCTGACTCTGGGCATGTCGGGCCGTCAAAACAACTCCACGGGTGGTAGTTTTGCTCCAAAACTCTCCCAGAGAGAGAGGAAGAAGCTCCACCAGCAGCAACTCCAAGAAAGCCTGGCAGCAGAGCAAAAGGCTAAGGAAGCTCGCAAATCACCGTGGCAAACTCCTGCCAAACAGATATTGTCGGCTGAACCGCCGACTGAGCCTGGGTGGGGAAAAGGTGCCTCTGACCAAGTGAAAACACCCCCGAAGCCTCCTGCCTTGACTCTCCGGCAAACAGTTGCTGGTGTACCGCCGGGGTCGAGTCCTTCACAGATTCAAGTCCGTAACGTCTCAAGTCCTCTCCCGACACCACCAAAACCTGCAAAACCTGCTCAAACCACGCCGGGACCGCAACCCTCACCTAACCTGTCTACACCTACGAAGCCAGTAGTGATTCAGTCCATACGTCACACTCCCCTTCCAGAACGCTCACGGCCTAGTTACACCGGATCTTCATCTGGCCAACTATCACTGGCATCGATTCTCCTCGAGCAGCAAGCGGAGAAGGACGAAATGCGTGAAGCTGCGACAACCAAGCACAGTCTCCAGGATATCCAGCTGGAGCAGGAGTTCCAGGAGTGGTGGGACAAGGAAAGCAAGCGAGTGATGGAAGCCGAAGCCGCTGCGGCTGCTGCTAAAGAACAACGCAAAGCAGGCCATCATCACCACCACCGTTCACGGGGCAAAAATCGAGGACAACGCAAGGACCGGGGTAAAGATACAACCAGCGCGTCTGACGCTCCTTCCGCCGCCAACGCGTCTTCTTCCGCTAATAATAATGATAAGAATGCCCCCGAGAAACGGAACAATACCAGCCACCGCTCGAACCACCACCACCACCCAAAAGGAGCACAACCAGCACAACCTCCCACCGGTGCTAATAGCCAGGCCGATGAAGGCGGTAATAACAGCATCACCCACCGTGGTGGTCATGGACGGCCGCGGCCATCCAAGGGGAAAGAACGGGCCCAGGCATAATATACGTACGTAGTAGGGCAGTTTTCTTCTTCCTTTTTTGCTTATTACATGACTACTGCTGCTGTTACAGTACTACGTTTTTTTTCTGTTCTCTCGACACTATTATAGAACCTTTTCTTTTTCCTTCTCTTTAACCTTACTTAATCTGTTATATTATCTATTGTTATATTACCTATATATTATATTATTTATATATTATTTGGATTGATGGATGGATGTATATACACACACGGTGTAAGAGAGACTGAGTGTATATTAATTAATTCAAATTAAATTAATTCAACGAAGTAACTTAAGGCAACTGCGCATACAATGAATGAATGAATGAGACAATCCCTACAGTACATAGCATAGACAAATCAAATCAAATCAAATCAAATATATATACTTACCTAACAGTAACAACTGCCTAGTGCCTACATAGATATATACAGATTCATACAGCATATACCATATTCATTCACTCCCTATACATACATACACCACAAAGCAACACACATGGAAACATGGAAGTTCCAGGGCTACTAATTAATAGCTCTCTAAAGTGAGAATGAAAAGAAGAAAAACTCAACTTCGTGTGAGTTAAAAGAATAGGGTCTTGAAAAGAAGCAAGACAAAGGAAAATCACTCCGGTAAATAATAATATTATTATGTATTAAAAAAAGGTATTTAAAAAAAAGGGAACATCCATACTCCGTATATCTCGCCCGTATCGTGATGCTAGGTTCGGAGATAGGTGGGGAGTACTGTACTTACAGAAATCTAGACCCTTGTCTTGAGACGCACCCAAAGGAGGGGGCAAAGAAGAAGAATGAAAATAGAAAATAGGAAATAGAAAATAAAGAAAGAATCAAGCTGCTTGCTCAGCAGGAAAACAGAAAACGAGTAACAAAATAAGAATCTCCCGGAACCCCTGCCGCGAATTGAATATGCAAACCCATAGCCCTGAGCACGCTGGAAGAACTAACTTGAAAGTCAACAAGTAGGACGCAGACGCAGACGCAGAATGAAGGAAACAAAGATAAGAAGCTAAGCAAAATGTGGCAGCTATTCACGTTCTTGCCCTTTCGCTGACAAGAAGCAGAATGGTACGTGGCGAAAGGCACTCGTATTATTATTGCCTATACCAGTGAGAGACGTACGCGCTTCGGCAAACTCAGCCTGGACTAGCGACTTCTCTGCTCTCCCACATACGACGAAGTAGCATAGCCGTCTCTGTGGCAAAGTAGCCACTAGCGGAATCCTTGCCTGTCCCGCCTTGTTCTGTGGCTGCATCGGCAGAAGTAGAGAGCGTTGAGCGTTGACCATGCGAGTCGTCAATATCTAACCGCTCCATTTGCTCGGTAGTATCATTGATATTAACGACATCGTCCTGGTCCTGGAAGTAAACTCGGGAGGCGTGCTTAGACCCTGACTGCCGGTTCTTGCTGATAAGTTGGCTGCGCCCTGACGGGGAGTCATCGTTACCACCGGACACGACATTCTGTCGCCTGTCGGCCGTGGACTGCAAGAATTGACCATTCGTCAGGGACGGCGCAGATTTCACACTCTTGCCTGCTAAAGATGTGTTCTGCTCTGTGCCGCCGGCCTGCCGTCCCATTTCAGCCATGATACGGTCCACCCGGTCGAAGCTGTTTTTCGTGGGGCTGTGAAACTGTCGAACTACATTGAGCTCGGATGCGGTCTTCTCATACGCTTTCCGAATGTGCTTGGCTTCGCTGTCATGTGTCGATACGCCTGGCCGCACACTGCCATTTACAGCTCCCCGTCCACCATCATACGGTCTTGCGCCCGCTCTTGAATGGTCGATCGAGGACGAAGGGAGGGCCGGTGATCCATCGGGCGGTGATGTGGTAAGAGCGGCATTCCGCTGCAGCCATAACTTCTGTTGAGTACGGGAAGGGGGGCCGTCCCCTGGCGGTCTTGGAGGGGGTGATGTTGTTTTGGCCTTCTTGGAGGTGTTGTTACGGCCTGGTGATGGAGGGGTCTGCGGATGATAATGCGGCAGAAAAGAGGACGGGGTATTAGGATCGGAGTCTGTGCGAGAAGTGGCATGAGCATCGTTCTTATCGATGATGAAACGGGATACGCCTCCTTCCATGGATGAAGAGGTAGCTTGCGCGGTCATTCCTGGCGTATTTTGCTGTGTGGAACTCGACGTGGTTGGACCATGCCGTGCCGCATCCGCAAGATTTGTGAGAGAGGCATTCCGACGCGCTGTGTCGACGGGGGCCGGGGTGGCCATGGCAGATATCGAAGACATAGCCGGAGGCGCCTTGGAAGAACGCAGCAGTCGAGATGCTATGTCCTCATGCTCCGTAGATCGCATCGGCTGCTGCTGTTGGTCTTGGTCGTCCGGCTGAGGGGAATGAGCTGAATGAGCTTCTTCATCACCTGAATGCTCATGTTCGGCGGGCTCAGGGGGGAGAGCGCTGACGCTCGACTCAGGCAGACTCCTCGACTGAGGGACTTGAGGATATGGACGCTTCACAAACGTCAACGGATCAACTAGAACTGTGCTGTTCTCCGGGCTGTCCTTTGACGGCGCCACGGAGCCCCGTCTTGTGCTCTCCGGGGACTGGGTGCTGTCCTCCCACTCTTCTTCGGAATCAGAATCACCCAACTCGAAGCCCACGGTCTTCTGGACTCTGGGCTTGGCGGTCTGCGGTCGACCCGTCACAAGCGCCTTCTTCCCCAGTACAGCAGAGGTATTGCGCGCCAGTGCTGGTGTGGAGTAGTTCTTTCTCATGGACGTGTTGGCCTTATGCTCGCCTAAGGAGACGGTCGAACCCCCCCGCCCATGAGAACCTCGCGGGCTTCCGGCAGGTGTCACCGGGGCCGACTTTTTACGTTGATGATGGCGGGCTCCGGTAACGGCCGCTGTGCCTTCGCCGAGCACATGCGCACTAGTCAGCCTCTGCAGCTTATTCAGGTTCTTGCCGAATGACGGGTTGCGACCGTGAGTACGGTGCGCACCCCCTACGACATGCGCGCGGTGGGTTTGTGAACGGGAGCCTTCTGGGGATGAGGGTCGGGGGCGTCGGTCGTATTGGGCGAGGTGCGCGTGGAGGCGATAGCATGGGAGGATGCAGAGCGTCGGCCCAGCGCAGGCCGTTTCACCGGCGACGAGGTATTGCTCGCTGGCGACATAGCGACTGGCGGACAACGGGGAGGAAAGGCAACAGAGCAAAGGTCTCAATGGGGCAGGAGCCAGCGAAGTGGCAAGAGAACGGAGGTCACCGGCGTCACCGAATAGCAGGCAGCCAGACCATCGAACCCGTTGTCAAAGTGCGTTGGGTAGCACGACGCGATGGAACGCGGAGGTCCGACTGGAATCCGTACGACGGCAGCGATTGGAGTAGGCTTCTCAGCAGTGTTTGTCGATGCAGGACGAGCAGACTCGTGCGAGTCAATTGGCGGACAACGTGGCGACGGGTCCGGTATACCCAATCTGCGGAAGCTGCATCTGGACGGGAGCAGCAGCCCACCAGCGCCCGGGAGAGGCAGGAGCAGCAGGGAGGAATTCGCAATAAGAAGGGAGAGAGAGATAACGAAGAGAAGCTAAGAATGGGTTCGCGAGGAGAAGGAGAGAAGAGGACGGGGTCGAGGAATGCGGGGGTGCGAGAGAAGCAGAAGTGAAGAGGAGTGAGTGCAGAGGCAGCTTGCTCGTCTCTCTTTGGCGGTCGAGGCCGGCCAGTGGACCGCGCCAGTACGGTACGATACAGACGCCGCCGTATTGATACTGGCGGCTGCTTCCGCCCTACACCGCCCGCGGGGTTGGCAATAATATTCGGTTTGGATGACAAGTCCTGGTATACTGACCATGTTCCAAAACCTGCACACAGATAACATACATGCAGAGGCTTCCCAAAAAAAAAAGCGCCAACCAAGCAAACCAGCGGAACGATCAGTTCTCGCTCGCAATCCAACCTATATAATAAACTAGTGCAAGGCGGATATCAAAAGAAGTGACTGGGATCCTCATCCATTACAAAAAAAGAGTAGGAAGCCAACTGGTATCATTATACTAATTGTAGGCATACGACTGAATCCGTGAGAAGCGAAAAGACAGCAATCCTCCAATGAACACCGTCGCTAAGACAGCGGGCTGGCTTCTTAAAGATCGATCAAGCTTTCTTCCACCACCGGTTTGGGAGGTGTGGGTTCCTGGTACTGCGATACAGGGGGAGCCGAACCGGGGGTATTGCCGGTGACATAAGGGTAGGAGCCATTCACCTGCGGTGCCCCTGCGTAAGAGTGGGGAGGCACCGGTTGCGATGGCTGCCTTTGCAAGTAATACGACTGGGGAGTTTGGGGTGCTTTTGAATGCTGCGGGGTCGGTGGCTCCTGGGAGTGTTGGTACCCAGAGCCAACGTCCGGAGGCGGGTATGCAGCATGTTGCGGCGGATTGCTTCCTGGTGGCTGCATGGTGTTTGATGCAGGGTGCTGTTGGGAAACAAACGTGGATGGGGTACCCGACTGCTGATATTGGGAATCGCGTCTCAGCGTGGGGGACTGTTGGTACGGCGTCTCCGTATCCTGTTGCAAAGGAGACGTGACTTGGTTGGCCTCCTGGCTGCTCTGCCCTTGACCGGGATACAAATTCGTCGTTCCCGCAGAGTCAGCAGGCTTCCCTGAGTATGGAGTAGCAGTAGAGACGGCATTCGACGGCGGCGGAGATCGGAGAGCGTGGAGGTCAGGAGGGGTCCATGGCTGGGTTTGGGAATCTCCGAGACTAGGATTCAGGGAAGGATACGGACCGGAACTCGTCAGAGGGGCTTGGGAAGTCCCTGGACCGTAGCTCCCTCCCGTAGGTTGAGGTTGTTGGGGTGGTCCAGGCGGATTGAACTGATCAGGAATGGTATTAGAGAGGTAGTAGGCCTCGGCGCCGCTCCGCCCGTCAGGCGCATTTTTAGACAACGGAGGATAGCTGTCATATGTCTGTCTACCCGGAGGAGCAGAGCTGTAAGGCCCAAGGTTATGCTGCGAATAGGCGTTCGACAGCCGTTCTTCCAGCATCCGGTCATAGTAGCGAACAACCGTCGATAGCTTGGCATGAAGGTCGAGAAGCGTATCTGGCTCAGTTAGCAAGGCGGTTGATTCGCCCGCCATGGGTGCGAGGTCTTACCATGCTTGCTCATCGTTTCTCCGTAACTGCGCGCAAGTTTAGGTCTCAGTGCGCCGATACTTTCGTACAGTTCCTGGATCTGAGGCTCGCGCAAGATAGTCCCTGGTGGCTGGTGCTGTAGTCGTTCAACCAGAGCTGCAAAAAGGTGGATGTTTTCCGCTTCGACCGGCGTGAGCTCATAGGGGTTCTTTGGTAAAGCGGGAGCAGTAGGGGCGCCAGCAGACGCTCCATCTGCAGCAGTCGAGTTTTTCAAGGCCGCTGTATGCTTCTGCTTCTGTTCTTCCATATCCCGCAATGAGGCTTCGATAGCAGCCTTCAGATCTGCGTCTTCCTCTTCCTCGGCGGTCGATGCTGGCTTTGCCCTTTCTTCCGGTTTAGACTGGGGCGTGTATCCTGTACTGCTTTTGCCCTGAGCTTCTTCCAGACTCATCTGCAACGCCCTTCTTAAGTCCTCATCAAAGCTCGAATCGGCCCGAGCTCCGCGCGGTTCCATAGACGTAGTGGATTTCGTTATAGAATGATTCTTGAATGCTGACCGCTCCGAGAGGCCAGATGAAGTAAATGTCTTGGAAGTAAGCTTGGCATAGCAGCCATCGTCAACTCGAACAGGCTGTAAGATGCCTAAATGGGGTAGAGGGAGTGTCTTGCTAGAGCATTGGGCATCAAAAACATTCCCACAGTTGCGACAATGGTGCTTCCTGTTCGTAAACGTAAATGGCGTTCTACAGCGCATACAGACGTCGGAATCGATCCATTCCGGAGGCTGCCATGAGATGGCCATGTCAGAAACCGGCAACCAACTGCTTGGTCGAGGGCAACCTACCGCACTACTCTCCAACATGCTGCTCGCTATTTCCGTCTTCGGCGGGAATCGAAACCCCTCGTTCTGCAGCTTCCGGTATGTCTCCCCAATGTAGAACAGGTCCGTGCGACCCTGAGCAGCCATTGCCCAATTCTGGATCAGTTCCAACATTTTCTGCTTCACGTCGTTGTTGAGGGGCACGCGTTCGGACTTGAGTAGCGACACAAGATTGTCCATGAATTCCCGTGATGCAATCTCCGCCAGGAAATGTGATCCGCCGTTCTTGACACATGTATCCGTCAACTGCGGGATGGCTAATCAGCCCACAGCGATCCGGGAGAGGTGAAGAAGGGACGAACCTTCAAGGTGGCAAGTTGAACATTTGGGTTCTTGCTTTCCAGTCTTCGTTTTAACGACCTCATCGCATCGCGAGGCTGAACACTCTTCGAGCGGATAAGGTCAGATATCTCCAAATTAAGGGCGATGTCCTCCCTGGTGTCCAGGCAGATGTCAGAAATGAGGGGCCCGCAACTTAGAGAAACAGCATCGCGTAACTTACAAGGAAGACGATGTTGCCTGCTCGATTTTTTCATCGAGCGGAGAGGTCGAAGAAAACCAGCCCGCCATGATGACGGTCGCTGATTATCGTCACGCCAAACTGGGCAGTGTCAGACAGGTCGAAGGACTCCGCAAGCTTATGACGTTAGATGCGCTGGAGGACCCCAATCTGGGAACGACAACAGAGCGATGAGCGGATTAGGCCGCTTTTCAAATCCAGGGACGTAAGAGACCACCGTTGGAGGGGAGGGCCGATGCGGGAAAGTTGCGTAGAGGACGACGGTATGCCTCAGCTGTCGCGAGCTCCAAGGCAGATACCATCACCGCCGCAGGGACTCCACCTCGAGTTGACACTCGGATGCGGGCACGTGGAGGTGCACAACGGATGACTCAGCAATGCACGGCACAATTCTCGTTTTGGTTAGGTGCCTGACGCGAGGAGTCAGGTGGCGTCATAGGCAAAGGCGGTGAGAGGAAGCCGAGGTCACGTTGTCTGCGTAATACCGTACCAAATACGTCCCAGCGTCTCGGGCATCGTGGCTTAGCGAATCAGCGGATACAGAGTACGTAACCAAGAGTGTCCAGTCCCCATGGAGAGACATGGCCCGTAGGCAGACAGTCAACTGTATGGCCTTTGGCAAACTCTCGCTGTGCAGCTCTCATTTATCTCCATTGTGTTTGCGCTCGTCCAATCTCCTTCGTTAAGAGAAACTGTATGCTTGCGACTCTCATGTGATTGTCCCTCTCGGGCTTGTTTTTCCTCGTGACTGAAATTATCGCCTCCGGATAACAGCTGTCCCTCACCCTCGTTTACCGACGTCGTTGTATGTGCAGGACGCAGATCATGCGCTGTCTTTCGCCTCTCCTTTGCAGATAATGTCCTCAGATGCAGCTGTCTTCCCAAGCAGATCCGACCCGACGCTCTGGAAGGACTTGAGCAGCTCTGGCACAACAAGTGGGATGCAGCCTTCGGCTGGACGGGCAAGTTGGGCAGGCCCATATCAGAATGGCAAAGCCCCTGGAGCTGGGGATCGGCGTGCCCGTTTCCCTCACATAAAGGATCTCCAAGATCAGGCTGCGCGATTGGATGTGGATGAAAGGAGTTCAGTACGCGTTCTGGCGCACATGCAAGCAACGACATGCAAGTTTGCTTACCACTCGGCAGATACATCACCTCTTGGGAACGGCTCAAAAAGCGATGCAGCAGTGTAAAACACTGCTCGATCAGGAACAGTTGGGAATGGCTTATGTCCAATACCTCCGTGCCTCCGAGATCACGGTCAATATTATACCCCGCCATTCGGACTACCGATCAGCCGTCCACCAGCGCCCTGGCTGGTATGACCAATTTTCAGATCTCATGTTGGTAAGCCGACTCCTTGAGTGCCACTACTTTAAAAGACCGCCATTATGGTATTGTAGCGAAGATTGTTCAATTAACACACTGCTCCTAGTCCATTCGCACCAAGCAAGCTACCATGGATGCCATTAAGCAGCAGATAATTGACGATAACCTCAAGAACAATGTCAATCCCACTGTTTCTGCTTTCGTCGAGATGACGACGCACACCTCCAGCCCGAGGAGCTCCCGTCACGAAAAGGGTCACGAAAGCGGGTTGTTGAGGATGCCAAGTCCTTCCGACTTCCAGAGGTCGTCAGATGGACCGTTGAGACAGGATGGCTTGCCTCGCAAACCAGTTGAAAACTCGTCTTCGGCGGAGGATATGCTGGTTCAACGGTTTGCTAGGTTACGGGCGAACCGGAGCTCTACACCGAGTAATCAAGTGCCAACATCCACAGAGGAGAACGGGGTGGCCACTGTGCCTTCTCCGCCGGGACCTCTTTCAGATTATCCTCCTAGACCATCCGTCAATCTGTCTCAGGGCAAGATGAACACATCTCTCAGTTCAGTGCCGCCCCGTCCACTGGGCCCACGAGCCATGGGGTCTTCTCAAAATGTACCCAGTCCCCCTACGAAGGCCCCTCTGGATACTGTCAACGTGTCGCTTCCTCGCGCTCCTAGTCCGGCGTACAGCCCTATATGGACTGTGCCATCCCAGCCACCATCGAATCCGCCAAGAACTTCCAGTGAGAGCTCACGCGCAGCGAATCCCAGGTACTCGCAGCTTTCTGGCTCTCCAAGGGGCAGTCCTAGCCGTGCTTCGGATGACGACAACCCTTACAGGTCACGAACACCTAACGGAATTCATCTAGCTCAAGAAAGCAAGAGCAGCTCCGCGGAGTTACCCCACAGTCCGACGATTCGGGCGCAACAGCTCCTCGATTATATGCGGAAGTATAACGTCTTGGTCATTGACGTCCGTCCTCGCGATCAATATGATCAGGGTCATATATATGCGAAATCCATTATATGTATCGAGCCTGTGGTTCTGAAAGAAAATGTTTCTGCGGAAGAGTTGGAAGAGCGTTTGGTGGTCTCTCCCGAGCATGAGCAGTCTTTGTTCGAACAACGAAATGAATTTGATCTCGTCGTGTACTATGATCAAAACACGGACTCTGTCAGCTATCTTGCCGGGTCTCCTGTGGGAACATCGGCGCCTCACCTGAGGGCACTCTATGATACACTGTATGAGTTTAATGCCTACAAGCCCTTGAAAGATGGACGGCCGCCTGCTCTTTTGCTGGGTGGGCTTGATGCCTGGGTTGATTTGGTGGGACAGCAGTCTCTTGCCACGTCTTCTACGGCAGCTGTCATGGGTTCAATTCAAGCAAAGAAGCCCGTCCCCTCACCAGGCCGTCCCATCGGGAGGGTACCCATGGCGAGTGCCAACTCCAGCTTGGAAGTCAGGAAGAGGAGGCTTCGCGAATTCACACCGCTCAATTCGGAAGAGCTTACGGCGTGGATGGAACGGGCAAAGAGTGAAGAGATCGAGGCGAACCCGCACGAAGACGAGAACGGTACCGCTGCGGAAGAACAGGAGAATGTCCAAGGCGAACAAGGGCCCTCTTCACCTTTTGTCCATACATATGAGGATTTTCTGCGTCGATTCCCCGAGCCGCATGCCGTCCAGCAGTCTATGATGATGCCAGAGCCTCGAGTGACAATGCCAGCTGTACCAAATTATGCTGCCCCTGTTCCGGTTGCTCCCTCGCGGCCACCGCCTGCAGTTCCGCGGCCGAGTTACGGCGGCGTTTCTGACGGTCGCCAAATCCAGCCTACTCTTGCACGTCAGAATTCTGCAACCAGAACCGCTCTCTACACCCCTAACTCTTCTATGCATCAGCTCAAGCTTCCCCGGACCGGTCTCACCAACTTTGGGGTCACTTGCTATATGAACGCTACTATCCAGTGCCTGAGTGCCACGGTCATGATGAGCAAATTCTTCATTGATAACCGGTTTCGGTACTACGTCCAGAAGAATTGGAAAGGCTCTCAGGGCGTCATGCCGGGGCTTTACGCGAATCTGATACGGTCTTTGTGGAAGAACGATGTGGAAGTCATCATGCCCACCTCCTTTCGCAACTTTTGCGGGCGACTGAATCGGGAATGGGCCATCGATCGGCAGCAGGATGCGAAGGAGTTCTTTGATTTCATCGTCGATTGCCTGCACGAGGATCTGAATATCAACTGGCAGAGAACGCCGTTACGGCCCCTGACGTTTGCGGAAGAGATGCAACGAGAGCGAATGCCTGTTCCCAAAGTATCGAAGATCGAGTGGGACCGGTATTGCCATCGAGAGGAGTCGTTTATCTCCTCACTTTTTGCAGGACAACACGCCAGTCGGCTGCGCTGTACAACTTGCAAGCGCACGTCGACCACATACGAAGCCTTCTACAGCATCAGCGTTGAGATTCCGCCATCGGGAACCGGTGATATATATCAGTGTCTGCGGAGCTATTGCAAGGAGGAGATGTTAAGCGGCGATGAGGTGTGGAAATGTCCGTACTGCAAGTGTGAGCGGGTGGCGACCAAACAAATCATCATAACCCGCGCACCGCAAATCCTCGTGATCCACTTCAAGCGGTTCTCCGCTTCCAAGACACAGTCGGCGCGCAAGATTCACACGCCCATTGACTTTCCTCTCTATGGCCTCCGCATGGATGAGTTTGTAATACCCTATCCACCGGCCACCGCCTCGAATGGCGATTCGGTTCAATCATCGCCGGGGTCTTTACTTTCTCCGACGACACCGCCCTTCACTTATGATGCCTATGCGGTCCTGCGCCATCTGGGCTCGTCCATGAGTGGTGGGCATTACGTCTCCCTCGTCCGAGATGCGCAGCGTCAGTGCTGGCGCAAATTCGACGATGAGCGTGTTAGTGACTTTAACCCGCGAGATCTGCGATTTTCGGATCGCCTGCAGAATGAGCAGGCGTACATTGTCTTCTACGAGCGGGTTCCCGCCAAATAAGGGACAATGGGTGATATTCGTTACGAGTTAGATCTTTTTTGTACAGCTAGCCAGGACGGGAAATCGTTTTCATGAATAGAGGGGGATCTAATTCTGCACTATACCCAGTTTTTGTATAATGATTCCTTGTTGACAGCTCTGTGAGGACTGATTTTTTTCTATTGTTGATGTCTGGACTGTTGTGGATGGGATGGGATGAAACGAGATGGTCGGCAGACCTCATGTATACATGCCTTGTGTACGAGACCACGATTTGCAAATATCATGACTCACGGATCCCCAATGGACGATATACTCTGTCAGCCACTTAATAGGTAGCTACCTACCTAGGTAGCTAGGTTCTGGTAAATAGAACCCCTGCCTAGTCAAAGGAAAAGAAATTGCTCCAATGAGGCCTATTGTCTCTTTACCTTACCTTCCCCGACAGACAGGTCCTACGAGAAGCCAGCCTGCAGGTGATTAGAGCCCGTATTTAATCCCCTCATAGTAATATCAGGTATGATGGTGGCTGCTGCTTAGTTTCTGTGGTAAGGTAGCGGTATCTACCTCCTAACCTTAGGTCGCTGATTTGTTTAAGCCAGGCCGGCGTATATCGGTTTACCATGTATTTTATTTACACTTCGCTTCTATATCTACGTAGATCAACATAATGGCAGAGTGAGAAACCTCCTCAGAACCACAAATGTCATATCATGGCGCTCCAGAGGTCATCCAAGACCATCATTAGTGGAGGTATACCGTAGCCATTTCTCATCTGCGACCTCACCAGATGGTTGCATAAGGTTAAGGATTCCATCATGCAGGGGTCGATTTTTCTGCTTCTACCTTTCTCATCTAGCTCAGGCAGGACTGATAAAGAACTGCTAAATTCTTTGACTCTTTATCCTCTTTACACGGCATACAGCTGGTGATTTACTCATTTGTTTGCTACATGGTAAAAGCAACAACATACTCCGTAAAGGTTGCTGCTCTGACTCAAGAGAAAGCAAAAGCTCAGTAACCAATCAATCTAATAAATATACTAAAAGAGCATGGAAAGCTGAAAGTTCTGTTACTGACTGTACAGAGCAGGAAATTCTGGATAGCTTCCTGTCGTGGTTAGGTAACAAAGAAGATAAAAATAGATATGCTAATAATGCCTGTTTCCAAGGCAGGAACGGATTCGACCAGCGGCAAACACATTTACTCGATTGGTGCCGCCGTCACATGATAGGCGCTGGAGCGGTTTCTGACGTGCCTGAGTCTTTCACAGATCCAAGGGCATGTCGAGGCCAACTGCCTTTTGAAAACGCAGGCTTTTCTAGGTGCTGATACCACCCTCATTGCCTAGCACGGAGTATTCGAGAACTGTCTATGAGCTAGCTAATCGCAACGACCAAGGAACAGACTGTTCATTCCTCCTAAAGATACGCATATTGATCGCAATATTTGGACTGCTTTTATGAGAAAGCACCGATCTCACGGCGGGAGAGGCATTGCAGATGCGTATCTTTTGTGCGATATGTGGAGTACACATACCCGCGACATCTTCCAGGCCAGGAACGGCGCTGCCAACGTAGCAGCAGGAATGGAATCAAGAACTCCGAGCTGGTTAGTGCAATTGCTCAACTTTTTCCACTTTCTGACGCTTACTTTCGTTGTTCCTCCTTAGTACGGTTTGTAAAACCGAAAAGTACTGCAATTCTTACCGGGGTTGGGTATCTGAACTCGTTGGAGATACGTTATTGCGCCGCCACACCCAGAAAACTCTTACCGGGATGCAAATGCTAATCTGGACTCCTATGTACCCTTCTATGACTCAGAGGCTGAGGCTTGGACTTTTGTATTCCACTCAGAATGTTGGAATGTTTTGCGTGAGAGGATCTCTGATGATGCCAACAGCAACAGCTCTCTTGCAACGTCACTTATAAGATCCTGTATTCGACCCGGCCATGATTTTGGTGGTGCGGCGCAGTTTCAGAAACCTGTTGGAAACCCCTTGCAAAAGGCGATAAACGGTGGATTCTCTCATTTCGCAGTCAAGCCTTCCAGGTTTCTCACCGTGGATGATCTTCTTCATTGCCTGGAAAGCACAGATGTTCCCAAGAGCTCCAATGGAGAGAGCACCATTCGGTGTAGCCTCGTCCCTGACGCTTTCTCAAGACTACCTACTGGGGTGATTCACCTGTTGCTGTCGTGGCTCCCATGTGACGACATCCGGCACCTCCGCTTGGCATCCAAGTCCATCGCTTCAGTATCGAATTCTAATTCACTTCCCCAGTCATTCTGGCGAAGTCGCTTCTCACGCAACTTTGAAATGGGGTTTGCTCTACCTATCCTCACCGATGGTCATCAAGACTGGCGATCTCTTCGCAATTAAAAGCGTCACTCATGCACCGGCTTGTCATTCCCTAGGTTATATCACGTCAACTACTGAAAACGTCCTGCAAATTCCGACGGAGAAGACATTGGTTGGGTTGCAGTTAGCTACTACGGCCAATGGAATCGTCGGGGCAAGACTTATTCTGGAAGCTGGTTCTTCAACACGCGCCTCGCCATGGGTAGGAAATATTGGAGCAGGTGAACCGGATGTTGCATTTGGGATATTATCTCTGCCAGGAGGGTTATGTCCTCTTGACTTCGCTGCTAGTTTTGATGTAAGTGACGCTTCGGGTATATCTTGAGCTGGTCTGATCGTTTGCACAAGTTCTTCAAGATGATTTCGCTCGCAATCAACGAAATTGGGCTGCCTGATACATCTTACTGTGACTCGCAATTCTCAGAGGGAATGACTCCGCACGGCCTCGTTCCACAGCCGCTTTGGACGCCATGTTGCCCAAGGGAAACATCATTCATACCTGTGCCTGAGAATCTCGAGTGCCAGACCTTCAATCGTATTCTCAATATTAACTTCGGAGGAACCAGAGGCGAAAATTTGAAAAAGCTGACTCGAATTGTGGTGCACATGGAAAGCAGGACGGCCGCTTTCGTGGGTATCATGTTCGAGTTCGATGGGCAAACCCCCATACTATGTGGAAAACAAGGTCGCACGGAGGTTTCGTTCCTTATCAGTGGCCCTACTGGAGAGAGGATATCGGAAGTTATATACGAACAGACCTTAGCTCCCCTGGGTCTCCGGTCTCTTCGCGTCTGTCACCCTCGTCCTTTGAATTCGAGGCAACCGGAGGCACTGACATCACTGGTCTAGATTCAAACAAACTTAGGAAGAAGTGCCACTTTCGCACCCGATGAACTTCGAACAGAACGTTCTGGAGAACTTACCTCTATGATCTCATTTCCGTTGGTCGAGGAGCGAGATGATAGTGCTCTAAAGTATAGCAAGGGATCGCTGAGAGCTCCCGAAGGACAGATAATTACAGGGTTCACATCAGTACTGGAGGTTCGTGAAAGATTCTCAAATCTGTTTTGGCTTCACCATCTTCTCACGTCTTCGAAACACAGGCTAGGACTGGCGCCTTCCAGACATTTGGCTTGCAATGTAGCTTTGTGTCGGATTCCACGATACCAGGCGGCCAAGTCCAAAGCACTGCTAGTGACCCTACTCCTTCTGCTGCTGAGCTGTGCTTTTCGGTAGGATCCTATCTCATTGGTGGGGCTAGAACAAGGTGTATGGCCTACACGTATGCTTCGTTGAAGTCGGTCAAGCGCATTCGCTTCTCGTGCGGATCTTCAGCTCGCCCGCGGCAAGAGAATGAGATATCCGGGCTGTGGCTGGAGTATTTTGGACCACAGCCTCCAGCAATTATAGGCCAATGGATCTCGGAGATCGACTCCATGGAACTTGAGCCGCATGAAGAGATAGTGGAAATGGTCTTTGGAATATCAAAGACCGATTTCTCTTTCAACGAGAAATTCCATCTCGGTCGGGTAGTTCGCATTTCTCTCTTAACTTCTCGCATGCAATCAAAGCTTGTTCAGAACGTTAAGACACTCTCTGAAGATGGTTACATTGAGTTGAAATTCCGGACGAACAAAATGGAGAAGCTGGTGAGTAGCAGCTCATTATTCCAGTCACTACTGCTGATTTCACAATTTCCCCATTGAAACTTGCAGGATTCCCTTGTGTGGGCATTCAATGCTCTTTATGATCATCCTCGAATTCTTTCCCTACCGAGAACAGACCTGGATCGGGGACTATCCCTTTGGGATCCAAGATTCTATCTCAACGTGTTTCCGTGGATGGTTCCGGAGAAGATCATGTGGGATGATATCAATCTCCAGGGCGAGTCTGATCGAATCGCCACTATTGCGGCATATCGAAGTCCCGTTTATGGAGTTCAATGCATAACAGGCCTTGCATTCACGTACAAGTCAGGTGAAACTCGCATAATCGGTTATACGCAAGGTCAGCTCGGCCGCGAAGTATCGGTTGGAGATCATGACAAGATCGTCCTCTTGGAGTTGTTTTCGGGACGGTTTGGTCTTTTAGAAATTATTGTACATGATCAGCCCAATGCATAATATATATATGTTCAGTACAAAACTGACGTTATTCAGCTTCACTGGAGAGCCTCGAGGGTGGGCGCCGCCATAATACGGTGTCTTGTACATTGACCGGACAACCTACGGAGACACTGATGGATGGCGAACCTACCGTTCATCACTACCGGCTGGATTTCGCTGCTTCTCAATACAAAGAATACACCATTGAGCGCGGTACCGGCCGTCTGGAGACAAAATCAAGGGATCTTCCAAAGAAAGAAGTAGTTGGATTGTGGGGCTTCAATATGGGAGACGGCAGGCTTGTTCTAGGCGTCATATACTCAGACAAACGCCTGGAATAAATTTGCATGACCTGTGTAGCTAGCCAAAGTCGTGCTTAACATCGGTTTACAAATAGCGAAGATAGGGGAAGACAAGACCCCCTCCCTGGTGGGATTTTACCCTAATCCCACTTTTTTTTCTCTTTAAAAAACATGAGGATGATAGGTCCTATACTCTATCGGGTGCCGGTCTTCACGTAGTCGATTAAATGTTGCGGGGCGACGTTGTTGGAAGGTGTCTACTTTGTCGAAGTGGCCCCTAAAAACATATATGTACATATGTACTGAAGCACGCTCCAGCTAACTTACGGAAGATGGAGTTTTGCTGGAAGAGAGCAAAAAAAAAGAAATATCGAGGAAGGAAACCTGCAGTCTCATCTCGAATTATGCTTTTCTGCTTTGATACATACACATATTAAACTGGACTAATATAATAAATAAGCCCGCTACCGCCCAATGTACTTGAGCTCCAGCTTTCTCAATGGGGTATACGACACGATGGTAAACACCAAAGCCAGCTCGTTCCCGACATCGCCTCCATCGTCCCCAATCATCCGGGCGATGGCACCGGTATAGTACGTCTCGACCATGCCGACGATCCATCCGGCGGCACCGCACAGGAAAGCCGTCAGACCGGCCAGACCGATGGGCATTCGGGACGGGGTGTTCCACGCGTCCAGGTCGTAGTTGGCGAAGTTGCCGCCACGGAAGAGGTAGTGCTCTGTGAAGAGGATGACGAAGAACGAGGTGTTCCAGTAGCCCAGAAGGGAGAGGAAGTTGCTCAGCACCGCCAGCAGATGGTCTCGGCCCGCGAGGCCCAGGAGAAGAATGCAGATGAAGACGATGAGCGTCCAGATCGCGCGGGGTACCAGCTGGAACGGTTTTGCGAACAGTTGGGCCGAAATTGAGCCTGCGTAGATGGCGATACAGTTCATGCCAACTTTAGAAAACAGTTAGTCAACGTGGCGCAGCTGGAACAGGAAGATTTTCATAAAAGGGTAAAAAAAAAGCGTACTTCCAGACAGCACAAGCAGCACTAGGAGGAACTTTGAAAATCCATCCGGATAGATGATCACCCTGAGCAACTCGCCAATGCCATTCTCGTACGCATCGTTCCATTCCGGGTTGGTGGCCAGCGCAGAAGCAATACAGCAACCCAACAACATTCCAATGCAGGTGGGAATAGAGATACCGAGAAGCGTGTACATGAAGATCTTCACCTTGGGGGTATTGACGGGGTAGTGCACATAGAAGTCGGATACGATGGAGCACCACGAGGCGCTCGAGCCGTAGATGACGCTGATCAGGCTCAGGATCTGACCGGACTCGGTCATGCCGCTCACCGTGGGCGGCGCGCTCAGGTCCGCGCGATGCGCTGCCTCGCCGTAGATGATCATGAACACGATGAAGAACAGGATCCACGCGTATCGTTCATAGGCCAGCACGCCTTTCAAGCCGATGAAGCTGAAAACGAGGCTGACGCAGGCGACGATGATGACTCCGACAGCGCTGGATAGCTGGCCGTCTGACACCGCGCTCAGCGCCAGTCCTCCGGTGATGCAGCTGACTGATGCCCATCCGAGCTGCTCGACCACGTTGAGAGCGGCAATGATGGACGACGGGTAGAATCCCAGCGAGTATCGCGAGATGGCGACCTGGCGCAGGCCCGTCGGGGGACCCATAGTTGCACACCAAGCCTGAATGAAGACATACGGATTAACAGCCATCCAAATGACGCGCGCTGCCAAGTACAGCTATTAAAGAAAGAATGGGAGGGGGGGGAAAAGGATCGTGCGAACCGTGGTAGCACTCCCAAGCAGAGTCGCAAAGATGGTGATGGGGATGGTCTGTCCCAGCGACAATCCAAACTCATTCCCGAGGAAGCCAGTGCTGAAGCAGCTCAGGTTCATCGTCGCAGACGCCCACATGAAGCCCATGACCAGCGGGTTCGGCGGTTTGCGATCTTCGGGCAGGACGCGCTCAACCGTGTGGCTCTCGATGCCCATCTTGCGGTCCAGCAGTTCCTCATAGTACCGGAATCGCGCCCAGAAACCCTGGGGCTTCTGGATGGGCGGCTCCTCCCCAGCAGGCACCTCCTTCAGGGCTGCGTTGCCGCCCTTGTCGCTCTCCAGGTCGTGCGGCTCCATGCTGACAAGTGGATCGCTGGGCGGAGTGGATGATTAGATAGATAGATATATCGATCAACGACAGAAAACGGACGTGCAGGACATGCTTTTTAAATAAGTATTAATCACTCTTCTCCCCACTTTGTTCGGGCCATGACCCCGTGGCACGGGCCGTAAGCTTTTTAACTTCACGGCCATGCTGAGGATAGATAGACACACGACCTTCTTTTCTAGATCGGACGGCTCCCCCCGAACAGGCAGGCGATCAAGTGGGACGCAGAACGGGCGTTGATGATTGGGGTCTGATCGTGCATTGATAGGCTCGACCAGCGTATCATTTTCGTGTCTACTCCGGAGTAAGCTTAGGCGAAAAATTTTATCCGCTAATTAGGAGAGATAGGATTCGTATCTGATGTAGCATTTGTTGCCTCTTGCTGATAAGGTCGGCTTACTCCGTACAGTCCTGGCTCCTGTCTGTCAGTGCGCCAGAGCTACTACTATTATTACCTGCCTCGTATGGCGAGGGGGCAATAGCCAAGGCTGTCATCCAGGGACCAGCCTGCACCGCGGATTTCCGTCCATCTGGGAAGCCTTTTTTTCCATCCACGTGAGCGGTCTGACAGTCGGGGTGGCGCGCCTCTCGAATGTATTATTTCAAGGATTGGGAGAATCGCACTGGCCTTCAATGTGAGGAAAACTATCCTTGAGACGAAGAATAAAATGCTCTCAAGACTGAATACGGAGTAAGGGATGGAATTGCGTCTCGCGAATCACGCCAGCCTTTAGGCCCTCAAGCCATTACTCCGCGTTATTTTAGGATTTGCGGGGTTGAAGCGTGTCCGCTGGCAGAGGCCTCCAACGGTCGATGCCTTGGGTCTTCAATCCAGCTTCTTTTTTTTTCCTTTTCTCTCTCTTTGTTTTCTTTTTCTTTTCTTCTTTCACTTTGATGATTATGTAATATTGCATAGACCAATTCCAAAAAAAAATCAACTGGCACAGATGCTTCGCTGAAGAAGTGTTACGATTCTGAATATTCTGCGTAGGCGAAAAGACTAACAAAACAGAGAGAGAGAAAGAGAGAGCAGGAAAAAAGAGTTCAATCCGTCGTTCCTTTCCTGTCAGTATTTAAAATACTAAATGCGTTAGACTGTGTCAGACGACATTGTACTGAACTCAGGATAGACATTGGACATGATGTAACTTGAAACTGGACTGAACGACTGCAGCACAATTGCCGTCTGTACTCCGTATGGATAGACAGAATTCACAGAATTCATCTCTTGGACGTCAATCCAATTCAATCCTTCAATTTATCGGCTGCGGTCTCGACTGGCGCTAGGCGAGCGGCTGTCTTCCGCGCCAAGCCCCGGCTGCAACTCTCGAAACTGTCCTCTTCGGTTCCTCCACGCTGCTAATTATTACGATTGCTGCTGCTACTGCCACTGCTGTCTCCGTTCGCCTTCTCGACTTTCCTGGCTCTTCCCCCTTCCTCCCCTCTTCCCCGTTTTCCTCCACCGTTCTTTCTTCCTCCTCTTCTCCCCTCTGTCTGCTGCAAGCCCTGCCGCTGTGATGCATTGTCCAGCGTCCCTGAGCAGATAGCCCGTTAGCCTTCGTCGTCCAGTCTTCTCCGTTAGGTCCCCTGTTTTCTTGGTGAATCCTCCATCGTCTCTTGACGGTGGCATTGTTGTCTACGCATTATCGTTTTCCGATCGTTCGGGTTTAACGGTATGATTCAGACCCGTCGATGGCCCCGTAACGCCTTTGCTCGCATGCTGATCCACCTGCGCAGAACATCCTTCCCTACACCAATCGAGCGCCCTGAGGCTTGTTCGTTTTCGATTGTCCTGCGACAACCCTGTATCCTTCCTGTGACGGTTGAATCGATCATAATGGCGACTGATGCACACGGTTTGATTGTGAACGGCGGGCAGACGTCCTCGAAGTCGCCGGCGGCTCTTCTCTCCGAGCAGCACGCGCGCGATCAGGCCCATAAAGTGACAGTGGAAGATGTCCCCGATGAGGATGACATTCAACATCCTCCTCCGTCGTCGTCGGTGAAGTCCGCAGCGCCAGATGCTGGTGCCGGCTCCTCCAAAGATGCCACCCCCAACGCTGGATCCGCCCCTGAGCCGAAGACGACGAAAACCTCCAACACTCCGGCTTTTGATGTGCGGTCGGAGGAGTCGTTTCCAGCTCTGGGCAGTGGTCCCAAGTCGAAAGCGGCTGCCAATGTGCCCTCGGCCTGGGGTGCCAGAAAGCCGGGTGCTGCGTCGACCTCGACCAACGGGGTGTCCAGCGGTCCTCAGGCGTCAAGTACGTTCCCTCTGTCCACCCCCATTACAGCGCTTTTTAAATTCGACTGACAATGCCTGAATCTCACCCAGGCTCTCCTTCGAGCTTCGGTGCCTCTGACGGTCCCAAGATCATGTCCTTGCCTGGAAAACATGTCGAACAATTGCGACTCGCCCCGTCGCAGATGCTTCCTCCAAGTCAGCTCAAGAAGCCGATCCGGGATATCTTGAGGGACATCAGCAAGCGTTCCAAAGCCACTGTCGACATGCGGGGCGGCCCTAATGGCTCGGTCATCTTCGAGGGCAAGGGCTCCGTGGATGCGGTGAGACAAGCTCTCAAGGACGTCGCACAGCAGGTTGGATCCAAGGTAATGACTCCGCGTTGTGCCTGAATTTCGTCCACAGACAACTGATCTTTCTAGCAATCTGTCCGTGTCCCGATCCCTGCTTCGGCGCGACCACATATCATTGGCCGCCAAGGCGCCGTCGTGCAGGACATCCAACAGCGAACTGGCGCCCGCGTCCAGGTGCCCAGGGCCGACGATTCCGCTGCCGGTGAGGACGACGATGACAGCGCCACCATCGACGTGTTCATCGAAGGTGATGCCGTCGCCGCAGAGATGGCTCGTCGTGAGATTGAGTCCATCGTCAAAGAACGGGCATCGAATATAACCTTGCGGCTGAAGACCATTCCTCCAGAGTTCTTCCCCTTCATTGCGGGTGCCCACAACGCACATGTGAACGAGCTTGAGGAGCGGACCAAGGCGCAGATTAGGGTGCCACGTTACGACACCTGGACGAAACAGCCACCGCCCCAAGAGGCCGACGTCGGTCAGATCCGATTTGTCCCGCACCCAGAGAGACACATTCATATTTCGGGAGAGCGTGCTGCTGCGCAGGAGGCTCGCGCTGAAATTGAACGACGTGCTGCCGAACTGCAGCGCCAGCTGACCCTGCGACAATTGGCAATCAACCGTGGCCAGCACCAGTTCATCCTGGGCGATAGTGATACCGCCCTGCACGACTTCCTCGCGGAGACCGGCTGTTCCATCATCCTGCCTCCGCCCGACGAGGACAGTGAATTCCTGACCATCACAGGACCGCCTGAACACATTGAAGCCGGCGTCAACCGTGCCATGGAACTTGCGACCAGCATGCAGATGGCGAGTATCGACTTGTCTCGACAGCATCCTGCTGCGCACGCTAGGGCCCTTACTTCTTATCTTCAACAGCGTCAAGTCATCAAAGAGTTGGAGAATCTGTACGATGCTCGCATCGTGCTACCCCAGACTTCTGAAGGCCCCGTCACCTGGGAAGTCTACTCCAGAGATGGAAAGAACACCATCCGGGCACGCTCCGATATCATGAACCTGATCCAGGCCCACCCTCCCGCAAGGATACGCTCCCTTCAGGTCGACCCGTACTTCCATCCATACCTCCGTTCCCGAAGTCGTGCCCAGCTGAAGGACGACTTTGGTGTCCATCTCATTGTTCCGGACGACATCGACAGCCCAGAAGTTGTTCTAGTCTACGAAGGACCATCGCAGGCCGGTGCCGAATATCAGGTCCCAAGGCACAGACCGTCAAGTGAGGAGATTGCGGCTTTCGAACGAGCTCTCCAGGCCGCGCAGGAATCCCTCCTGAAGACATTGGGAGATCAGAAGGACATTGTGTCGAGATCAGTCAGCATTCCTGCAAAGTATGTCGAATTCTCTTTGTGTGTCGCCCAGACGACGAAGCTAATCATGGTCATTTAGGTACAATGAGAAGGTTCGCAAGTACATTGCACGCGAACAGCAGGCTGACGTGGATCGTATCCCTGTCCGTGCCATCGTTAGAGAGCCTGAGGGCCGCAATGGTCCAGTTTCCTCCCAGAAGTCCAAAGCAGCGGCTGCTCTGCCGAGCGAGGTTGCTTTGCGAGGGCGCTCTGGTGACGTGGACGAGCTCGAGTCCAAGATCCTTGCCTTTGTCGAACAACAGGAGAAGGATGACCTCGAACGGGGCTATACTACCAGCTTCGACTATCCCCAGAAATTTGCCAACGTCCTCATCGGGAAACGCGGAGAGAATATCAACAAGTTGCGCGAGGAATTCGACGTTGACATCAAGGTCGACAATGGCAAGGTCGAAGTCAAGGGACCCAAGGCAAAGGCGGATGCCGCGAAAGCCAGGATCGTTGCACTGGGCAAGAAACTCGCCGATGAAACGACCCACGTTCTCAAGATTCCCGCCAAATATCACCGTGATCTGATCGGTCAGAAGGGCAGCCAGGTGAACCGACTACAGGACCGTTACAATGTCCGTGTCCAATTCCCTCGTGCTGCAGTGTCAACACCCGCCAATGATGACCAGTCTGTCGCGGATACCGCAAGCGAGGTTGGTGGTGGTCGGCCTGGTCGACCCAACCAAGCTCCTGATGAAGTAATTATCAAAGGTCCCAGCAAGGGCGCCGACGCTGCCAGAGACGAAATCCTCAGCTTGCTTCAATGGATTATTGACCACTCACATACAGCTTCTGTCTCTGTTGCGCAAAGCCAGATCCCCTCGTTGATCGGTCAACGTGGCCGTGAAATGGACAAGCTCCGGGCTGACACTGGAGCGCAAATCGACGTCCCCAGCGCCCAAGACGCACCGGATGCTTCTGGACGCGTTGAGATCAAGATCAAGGGAACCAAGAAACAAGTTGATGAGGCCCAGAAGATTCTCGAGCAGCGGGCGAGGGAATTCGACGCGATTGTCACCAGGACCATCGAGGTGGACAAGAAGCATCACAAGGCGTTGATCGGCGGTGGTGGTAAGTGGACGTTGACCGGACAAGTAACAGTAATATGCTAATCTGAATTAGGTGCCAATATCCGCAAAATCATCATCGAGGCGGGTGGTCCTGACGATGGCAGCGCTGCCCGCATGGTGAAATTCCCGCGTCCTGATAGCAATGAAACGACAATCAAACTCGAGGGGAATGGCGCCGTCGTTGACAAAATCATCGCTGCGATCGAGGCTTTCGTCAAGGAGCGAGAGGATCAGGTCACGGCCACGCTGGACGTGCCCCAGTCGCAACACCGCCTGCTTATCGGACGCGGCGGGGAGACGAGACGTAACCTGGAATCGCAGTTCAACATCACCGTCGATATTCCCAAGCAAGGGTCTGGTCGCACTGATGTCAAGCTCAAGGGACCCAGCAGTGCCGTTGAGGAGGCTAAAGCGCACATCCTTGCCCTGCTCAAAGAGCAGCAAGGCGAGACTGTTGAGGTGCCAAGGCATCTGCACCATGTCATTTCAGACAATGGCTCTTTCTTCCGCCGCCTGCGCAACGACTACCAGGTGACTGTGGACCATGCTGGCCAACAGGTTCCGCCCAAGCCTAGCCCAGTCGACTTGCGCAACGGGCCCAACGGAGCTGCCTCGCTGCCGTTGATTACGGATGATCCGGCCGCAGCGGCGGATGCCCATTCCTGGAAGGTGGTCGACAACACTCCTGCGCCCAGCGATTCTTCGGCCACGATTCCATGGGTCCTTTCTGGTGCGTCGGAGAACGTCAGTAAAGCGAAGGCGGCCTTGGAAAAGGCTATCGAGGCGGCATCGCAGCAGGCGGCGACTGGGTACCTGATCCTGCCTGATCCGAAGACGTATCGGTTCGTGGTTGGTCAAGGCGGGAGCCAGATCAACGCCATCAGGAAGAAGACGGGCTGCCGGATCAACGTGCCAAAGAGCCAAGCTCGGGGCGAAGCGATTGAGATCAAGGGGACCAAGGAGGGCGTGGAGGAAGCCAAGAACATGATTCTGGAAGCTGTGCGAGCAGGGTTGAACGGGTCGCGATAAAGACGGTTATATAACAAACACATAGCACATAGCACGAAGGGGGATGGAGCCATGACCATGACCAGAGCAAAAAAAAAGCAAGATCTTCCTTTTGCTTTCATCACATCAATCAGATCTCATCTGTCATATGGACACAGCACACAAAAATTTTCCCCCAAAGGTATTAGTATTTATTTATTTATTTTATCATATTATCATGGTTTCATATAACGGTGGCGAACGTGAGCAAGCAGGCCTAACCTCTCGATAGCTATCTGTTCTGTCAATTTGTCTTGTCTACATATGATTCCTTGTAACTCCTTTTTTTTTATTGTCATCTTATTTTTCATGTTCAATAGTATTTATTTATCTATCAATTTATCTATAGCCATTATTGCCATGTTTGCGAGTCATGTGATGCTTTGGTGCTTATTTGAGTATCAATCAGATCATCTTATTTTGCACAGGGTTTCTTTCCTAGGAAGGTGGTTTGTAGTGGTGAGCGCGATATTTCCGACAATATGTGGCAAAAAAAAAAGGATATGTATTTTTCCCCCTTTCGATAAACATTACAAATAGAAGTTATTTACCTGATAAACTGCTGCCGAAATGCGTGGTCTTTGACGCCGGTTTTCGTGGCCTTTGCACATCGTCCTCCACAATACTCGCCACCACAGCACCTGTCACTATCATCTTGGGTTGCTTTTCTTTTGTTTATTGGACTAGCGTCTGACAATTCTGTGGCTATGGTAATCACTGTCAACATTAAGTTAGGTTTCTAAGTGGTTTTTCATCATAAGACCCAGATGAATGAGAGATGTCCATTTTTCGTTAACATTATGTATATGCATATACAAACAAACAAATCCATTACTGCAGCAAAGCTAAAATGTGGCTAAGTCTCAATAGACCCAACATCAGATGCCTTATCCTGAATAGCACCATGCTCCATCAATAGCTGTATTATGTCTTTATCTCCTTTTTCCTCCGCAGCTTCTAAAGCAGTCTTGAAACGACCACCTGAGAATTTGGCACTGAAATCGGCTCCAGCACTTAAGTAGCAGCTGAATAATGTCTTTATTACCTGAGCACACTGCTGTTATTAGGGCATTGCCATGGGGTTGGTCGTCGAACCGTAAATTGACATCTGCGCCAGCATCCAGAAGGAGCTGCATAACATGCTTAATGGATTTATCTTCTGGCCGTAATTTGTCTGCTGCTGCGGATGCTGCTGCTGCTGCTGCTGCTAGGGCACTGCCATAATACCCACAAGACAGCTGTTGATTTACATCTGCCCCTGCATCCAGGAGCAACATGACAATATCTTGATTCCCGTGGTAAGATGCTGCTGCTAGGGCACTACCAAACTTCCCACCAATCACTTTCTGGTTAACATCTGCTCCAAGAGTAAGTAATCTATGTATAAGTCGAACATTCTCACTCTGGCAGGCAAGTGCCAATAACGTCTCGCCGTCTTCGTTGACTTGGTCAGGGGTTATGCTTCCAGATTGCAACCACCTGAAAAGAATGTGGTTGAGACCAAATCGGCATATCGCCAGCAAGACGTTGGAAGAAGGTCTCAGTTGATCAAAACCAGAAGGCTGAACCATGGTCTTGCCTCTGCAGAATTCATACCAGCGCATATAGCCTGGACCACTCTTGTCCATGGAGCCAAGGAATTTATCTAAAATAATGGAGAGCTGGTCGTCCGTGGAAGTGTCACCTTGACAGCGTATGTGCGAAGGCCAGTATTTTGCTGCATATGGCACGAATTCTGGGATTGGACCGCAAAACCGAAAGCTTGCACTTGGGCTTGAATCACGGTCTGAATCTGACCCTGGCTTCTCTTTGCTGTGTATCCCTTCCCAATTGTCAGGATTATTAAATACCGACAAGCAGACCTTCGCAAGATCAGCATGAACCTTTTCAGGGACCCAATGATGCTCTTCTAAATATTCGCGGACTGATATATGTGCGAAACGACAAATCCCCGTCTCCGGATCCAGGACCAAAAGATTATAACAGGCATCGAGGACAAAATGGATATCCATGTATGGCTTGATAGTTGTTGTCTCGTCTTCAGGATCCTGGCATACAGCAGCAACAAGAATATCTGCTTCAAGAGGCTCTCTGCAGTATGTGACCCATTGAAAAGCACGAATTGCGATTTTGCCCTTAATTCCTTTGGATCTTCTAATTTTGTCGTATATTTCATCATAGGCAGCTCTTAGGTCATCGGGTAACCGCCCTAAGCGGTCGCGGATATCACTCTCTAGTTCTAAGGAGAGTATTTCGGCAATTTGCAGAGCGGCCCATTGAAACCTTAATTTAATCCAGTAATGAGTAAAGGAAATGTGAGAAAGGAAAGTCATGTTGTAAATACTTACATCCCCTGGCTTTTCTTTAGGAGTACCTCCATGATTTCGGATTTCAAACTCTCAGAGATGGGATACCTCCGATCCTTTTCATTTTGACTGATCTTCTCTGCAACAAATCTCGCTATATCATCCTGATTGTTAGTTGCATCATCAATGCTAATGTTTGCCTCCCTTTTAAGTTGGCGCATGATATTGCTGTCCCGTCGGCTAGAAATTAATATCTTTAAGTTCCTGGACTGCTCAATGAGGTGATTAAAACAGTAAAATAGGCTCATTCGAGAGCGTTCCTCGCACTCATGCAGAGCATCTAGAACCAAGGTTGTTTTTGGATATGTAGAAATTAATTCAAGGAGGAGCACCTCACACTCATCAAGACTCAATTCCTTTGAAAATCCCATCTGCCACCTCTTGTTATAAATTTTGAGAAGAGAACTATGAATTGCCTTCTCATCATTTGAAACAGAAAATTGCTTGATAAAACTGCGGAGAATCTCCTCTGGCTTTCGATGAGACTCCTCGTTATGATTGCAGTAGAAGTATGCCAATATTTGGTCATGAGAATTGTTGAGATCATCGATAACTTGAGAAACAAGTTTTGTTTTCCCAGCGCCCACTATTCCAATATCAATTGGGTTAGTGAAGGAACTTACAGATTCCATGTAGCCATAGCATCATTGAACCTTCAGATTATTGCCACTCTTAGAATTGGCTGTGCTGGAAAAGCCACCTCCCAGTGTCCTTGGTCCGTCCTTCCCTTGCAATCTGGTGGTGATACTTACTGGAATCTTTGATATCCACATGAGGATATTATGCCTCTTTGTGTCATCCATGAACTGCCAGATGTCATGGACTTTGTCATCTATGTTCTGGATTCTGTCCTCCAAATTATGCAGCCGGTTAAGGTCTTTGAGTATGTCTTTTAGAGCCTTATATTGCTCGATAGAGATTGCATGCTCATTTGTTTTGCTGTAGAGACGGTCATAATTTTGAGCTTCGATGTCAACGCGTTCTATATGCCTTTGGAAACGAATGTCATATTCATAGATAGAGTCAAGAGACCAGAGGGCTTTGAAGGCCCTGGTGAGGATATTCTGTTCATAGGTTCGGATTGCAATGGCTAAGAATTCGAGAATGAGGACATAGAGATCGGTAAGGGCGGATTCAAAATGTCTGTATGCCTCCTCTATGGTCGGGTCATATGGATAGAGAAGTTCGTAGACCCTGCATCGGTCGATGAGGTAGAGAATCTTGTCCAGCCCGACTAGGAGAGAGCCTATCATGCCACGCTCGGAAGTAGCTGCCCATCAGGCGTATGCAGAATTGACGAATATATTCTCTAAATAGACAGACAGAGCAAGAAAAAGAGGAATAATCATTAATATCACGCCATGCCATGCCATGTCATGTCATTCAGATTAAAAATTAGCTAGCTACCCAAATAGAGAAACAAGTATTGAAATAGCAAAGGGAAAAAAAAGGAAAAAAAAGGATCAAGAAGGAAAGCTAGAGGAATCTGACAGAACGTAATTCGAATTAACTCCCAATTTCCCCGATTTATCATTCTCTTCCGATAGAGGGGGATCCATCCAGCCATACATATATCATACATAGATGTACATATATAGCTTGAATTTCATTTACATCCGTCACCAAGCGAACCCTCCGATCTCCAGATTATATTTTCCTGTCATGTGTCGTGTATCCATCCATCCACTCATTATAGTATATCCATGTTAGCCATTGTCAAAGAAAAAAAGATCATGTGCAGCAGCAAAGGCATAACCGCCAGATCCAGCAGTGATGATAGCTATATCCACGTCTCAGTCTCTCCTCACAGGAGGAAGAGGAGGAGAGGGAGGAGGAATGGGAGCCAGATGCCTATGTCTATTGTGCCTCTTGTTTTTGGAGCGGACCCGACTGCGATTGCTGTTGGGCTGCTTCCAGCTGCACCTCCGGCGTGAAGAACCGCGGACGATGTTGCCGCGATGGTGACTGAACCGCTAGTCGGCGTCGATTCTGCGTTCGCGACGCTGCTGCTGGCGGACGCCTGGAGGCTGGATTTCATGGAGGAGAAGCTGGAGTCTGCGTCGAACGAGTCCGTCGCGGAGACGGAGACGCTCGAGCTGGCCGTCGTCGGGGACGAGGTCAGAGATACCGTCTGGCTGGTCGACGTGGCGTCGATGGAGATGTACACCCTGATGTACCAGTACACGTAGTACGTATATGTGATTTCGGTGTAGTAGACGCTTTGATAAAAGGAGGGAGATGATGTAGCGGCCCCCGGTGAAGCAGGAGCGGCAGTAGTTTCGAATGAAGGAGACGCAGGAGCAGTAGGAGGAGGGTTGGATGAGCCACTACAGTCCGGATCGTCACAGCAACCACGCTGGCCTCCGACGGTGGCGCAGTACTATCCCTTCGGGCAGTACCCGCCGTCGTTGCAGCACTGTGCCCCCGGGGGTGCGCATCCGCTCGTATTGGGGCAGCACAGGTATCCCGGATCGCAGTAGTGGTTGCCCTTGCAGCAGGTGGCTCCCCGGGGAGCGCAACCGTTAGGACAGCATTCCTGCCCGTTGTCGCAGACGCCACCGCCATTGCAGCAGGTGTCGGTAGCCTTGACAATGCAGGCCCCGTCGTCACAACACGCGTCGGCGGGTTCTTCACAACAGCGGCCGGAGGCTGGAGAGTAATGCCACTCAGTAAAGTCAACATGATAGAATGGTTTGATACACACTAGGACAGAGGCTGGTGCCCGACGGGCAGTACTGCTCATTCCGAGAGAACAACAATCCCGAGACATCTATGCTGCTGTTCCTTGACAAATATGACAAGACTGGCCATAGTGGCTGGTTCTGACGTGCTTGGAAACCAGGTGCTGGACTGTCTTCTGCGGTGGCCGAGGAGAGGCTGATCAGGATAACGACAGCCGCTAGCAAGCTTTTGACAGTGAGAAACGCCATGTTGGCGTTCTTGAAAGCCGGATCGTGAAGCTGGGGGTGAGAGGTTGATTCTCATTCGGTTCGAGTCAGTGTTCTATAATACAGCGATCTAGATCTGGGCTTCACAACGTGTAAATAAATGCATGTAATTCGATCCGGCCTCAGTGGAGAAAAGAAGCCTCGCTTCTTCAAATACAACATTTTTTTCCCACCTCAACAGCAAACTTGGCGCCGTAATATACTCGCGAATGAGCCGCATGGAGTGCATCAATCCGGGGGGCTTAGATCGATTGAGATTTGGTCTGAGCCTTGAGTGGCTGTTTTAGCGGTCGGTGGTCACCACATTGGCATCTTTCCATAAAAGCTAAAAGGGACAGGCTATTCCTTGAGAGCTCGTATTCATATCGGTTTAATATTCCTTCTTGACGTGGGTGTGGAGGGCTGATGCAACCCTAATTCTTACCCCTCCGGCAATCAGATCAGGTGTCATTCTTGACACGATATCCTGGACTCCAGATATGGATTTCTCCAATTCTTCACTATATTACTGACGAAGAAGACACTGAGGATGGACAAGGTTCTGTGAGCTGCGCTGTTCGAGTGGGGATTTGGATCGAATGGTCGTGTTCGTGGTGCCGTTGTTTGTATATAGGGATGCTCTCATTGGCGGGCCTGGGTTTAGCGGGATTCCGTGCCTCGTATTCGGCGCACTGTCCATCTGTCCTCAGCTGAGGTCTGGTAGTAGTATGTCAGAATTGGGCAAAAAAAAAGCAAAAGGAAAAAGAAAAGTAAAGCATTCACCATTCCCTGGTTTCGTCCTTCATGTGACGTCGTGTCTCGTCGCGGGGTGGCGGCGGCGGCGAAAAGTGGGGGATAGATATGTCCTATCTATCTCTATAACCCTTTATATAACCAGACAGTTCATACCCTTAGCAGAACTTCGAAATGACCCAGAATCACGGAACTCGATAGTGTATAGAAAAAGGGAAAATGACAGACACGCCTGAGTCACCTCCATGTTACCACCACCGCACCGTAACCGGAGGCTGCCACTGCGGCGCCGTCCGATAAAAGGCCACAATCGATATAGCCAACCTGCAACCGACCAAGTGCAACTGCTCCTACTGCCACAAGACGAACTTTGTCGGGATCGCCGTGGACCCGGACGAACCGGACGCACTTCAATTCCTTCCCTCTTCCTCGTCCTGTGATGCAAATGCCCCCGCAGATGCGTCTGCGCAGCAGAGCCACTACCGCTTCGGACCGAAGAACATGACCTGGTACTTCTGCAAGACGTGCGGCGTGACGACCCTGACGCAGGGAGAGTATCAGACTGATGCCGCTGGTGCTGGCAATGGCAAGACCCTCTGCAAGAAAGCGCGTATGCTCAACGCGGTGACTCTGGATCAGGGCCAGAACGGGCTGGATCTGTCCAAGATCAGGTTTCGGTATTTCAATGGCCGGGACCACGGCTGGTCTGCGAGTCTGCAGGATGCCCCGGCTGCTTGGGGGACGTGGTGATCATAAATTATGGCGATGGTGATGATGATCTTGATTGTGACCTTGCTTGGAAGTTGTATGACATCCTTCGCGATGTTCATGAATAATCCCTACAAGGCACGACTGGTTCCTTCGTGCTCGGCGAAGTCCCTCGGTTGTGTGCGGGAGGACGGACAACACAGCAACTACGCGACCGATGACTGTGCCGACGGGTCGCTTGCCAGATTATCACTATTTCAGTGCTATGGATGTTTCTGGACTATGAACCGTCCACCTTGTGGTGTCGTGCTTGAACAAGATTCTTGAAATTAAAGCAAAGGTTGTACCGGACGAGGAGCAGGGAGGCGATATCGTACCTGATATGTTGCCTAAATGGACCGGCATCGATAGTCCGCCTGGGATTGCACCGTGCTGGCACGGGTGTCCTTTGGAAATGAATACGACTGTCACGGGAATCGCCATATTTTATACCAGTCAAGAATCCACATATCTAAGTCGGGAATAAATTCGCGAAAGTTCGAGTTGTAAGGGAAAACGGCGGATAGCATCAAAGATATCAGTAGATCACAACAAATCAAAGGCATTAACGAAGAAAGGAAACACTCTATCCAGCGGAAGACAGGCCATGAGTTTCCATCGTAATCCCACAAACAAGCTCCGTCAACCCTGTCAGAGTAATACTACTGTTACCCGCACCCTCTGCTCCTCTTTGAGGAGCTCGACAGCTCCCGAGTATCCGGGTTTGAGGAGACAAAACGAGTCTCCGAAATCCTACACGAACAGAAACGACCCCTTCTTACCACTCTGTCCACTGCCATGTCACCTGGAACCATCGGTGGAAACGTTGAGTTTACTGCTGCTCCGCGGAAGCAGTCTGCAGGTATTTGTAGGCGCCGAAAGCCAGAGCAGCGCCGATAAGGAGCGCCGCGTACAAGCCGATGCCCAAACCAGTGTTGCTACCGCTGCTGCTCGAGGCAGACTTCGACGATGAAGAGGTAGACTGGGTCTTGGGAGCAGGGTCGCCAGGCTGAAACGCAAGTCAGCACGAAACAATTGCGACATGACATGACAGGAGCTATCCAATCAAGTTGAAGTCATACCTGTCTCTTCAAAGTTCCGACCTTCAGGCCGTCCAAGATCTCTCGGGCCTCGTCACTGTGTCCAACATCCTCGAACGCCTCGGTGGCATCCTGACCGGCAACGTCCAGCAAGACTTCCTCACCACCACTGGATTGAAAGCCACGTCAGCTGTCACCGCTGATGATACTTGTCCCTGAGACCTGCTAGGCAAATACGTACGGGTGCTCATCCACGAAACTCGTAACATTGTAAACCTTGTCGTGGATCACGAGGTAGAGATCCTTCTTGGTGTTGTGGGCGGCAACATCGCTGTAGGTGAACTCCTTGTCCGACATGGTGATGGCGGTGGCTGTTCTGTGGAATCAGTCGACATCAATTAGCTGAGTCGAGAAATTGTATACGCCATAGGGCGACTTGATGGCTGAGAGCGACGAGAGAAGGAGATGAGCGGGTAGAACAGCCGGTGACACCAAGAATTGTTGACAGCGTGACCCGGGCTTGAAACACTGACGTGGCCTGAGGTCCCAGCTGTATTTCGGCGAGGTGGTCTGAGGAGAGGGCTTACCTTGATCAATCAGGCACGAATCCAATCCAAACAAGAAGAACAGGACGAAGCAAGCGAAGATAAGACGGTGAGCGGGTGAGAGGACAGGACAGGTGTGTGAGCAAGCCGAGTAGAAGAGGAGGAGCGCGCGAGAAGGTCGGGGCTCGAGTAGCTGCCGCTGAGAAAGACAGAAAAACGTCGGCGTTGGTTGGTTCCTGATGGCGCCAGGCACGCGGTACCGGGTACTTTGTTTTTGCGGGCGAAACCACGGCAAGCTAGGTACCAGTGACTTGCTCTTCCCATACTCCGTGCGCCGGTGCTCTAGGCGTGCACTAGTCGAATTGGCTCTTCTCCCGCCGAGATTCACTTCCGTCCCCCATTCTTTGACCGAGGGAACAGGATGCCCCGTTGTCCAGACTCCGGCCTGCTGAATCGGCAGCGAACCCTGGCAGCCGTCGCTAATAGCGGCCGCTTTCTCTTGTGTTCTCCGGTCCTCTCCCGTCTGTAGGTCGGGGTGCTGATACCGGCTGAGGCGAGTGACCCCGTCGACGAATCAGCGGTGGGGGAATGTCTCCTCCCACTATTGCCTTTTCGAGGCACCTGTCAGCTCGGGTGGAAGTGCACCGTACTAACCCTCGCTCATCATGCGTATTATTCTACTTTGCATTATTTTATGATCCCGTATGAAATGAGGAAGATCACGGAGTCCACTTCCATGGAGAACAAACTCCTCGTACCACGCTTCAGCGGCGCAGAGCATTCTCCAGCCGGATTCTGAGCCCTGTTCCGATCCGCCCCAAGAGTCCAGCGTAGTAGCAACTAACAGCAACGGTCAACCACGGA